ACACCCTGCATGGTCACCGAGGAAGGCGAACTGTGCAGACCCCAGTCCCCAGTAAGTGCCTGAAGCATAACTCACTGCTTACTCATATCTACGTTATCTAAACATACTCAGTACTCACATCTAGCATGCTTAGTTCCACATAATCTTTCTATAAAATCACATAACGGATGTAGTCGGAGCTGTACTGACACATTCAGTGCTGATTTATAGAATCCTTCCATATAACCATAGAGTAGTTTGTAGTAGGAGGCATGCCGAGAGCAGACACAGAACAGAAGCAGTACATGGGAAAACAGTCAGACCAGGACGAGAACCAAAGACCCCGGCGGTGGCGTCCCTGCCTGAAAGGGCACACACTGTATGACAGGCTTGGAGCAGGAGCCTCTCCTCCTGATAAAGGAGTTGTAGCACCTCGAGTCCAGTTCCTGTGGAAAGTCGGCCTCAGGCCTGAGATCCCACAAGCAACCGAGGGAGAAGAACCCTCTGGTGTGACCAGTCACGGCGGCTGTACACCCTGTCAGTCTTTTCTCACTTCTGTGCTGGCTCAAAGAATCCTCCCATAAATATCTTAAGAGAAGAGCATAAGTCTGTCAGCTCCCACTGCATTGGCTTACAGTACCCCTCTATTAGAAATCCTTTGAAGTCTCCAGCCCCCAGATAAGAAGTGTTGCACACGACACTGGCTGCACATAGCCCACTTCCTTGCCTCGGTGACCTAATGGGGGTGGACCCCTTTTCTGTACACGACCCTATACTACTGCACACAGCAGGGCCCCCTACTTTGCACGGCCCACCTCTCCGCCCAGGTGACATCATGGGGTGGCCTCCTTGCTTGTGATTATGTGATTATGTATGCCCTATCACTAAGCCTATAGATGATGACCTCACTTACAACCCTTCCCCCTGCCTGTACCTAATAAATACAGACGCTTCTGCGCATTCGGGGCCTCACTCATCTCCGCTCATAGGTGGCACAGCCCCCAAGTCCAGCTGCTCTTCTCCAGTTCTTCAGTGTCCTGTTTCTTTACTTCTCGGATCTTACACTCCAGCACAGCTTAAGGGACGCCCCACAACCCTGTGGGGCCCAACAGCCCTACAAGGTGCCAGTGCACTCCAGCCTGGCTTTTGGGAGCAAGACTCTGTCTCAAAAAAAACAAAAACAAAAACAAAAAATTAGCCAGGACATTTTTTTTTTTTTTTTTTTTTTTGAGATGGCGTCTTGCTCTGTTGCCCAGGCTGGAGTGCGGTGGCATGATCTCGGCTCACTGCAACCTCCGCCTCCCATGTTCAAGCGATTCTCCTGCCTCAGCCTCACAAGTAGCTGGGATTACAGGCGCACACCACCGCACCTGGCTAATTTTTGTATTTTTAGTAGAGACGGAGTTTCATCATGTCGGCCAGGCTGGTCTCAAACTGCTGACCTTGCTGATCTTCCTGCCCTAGCCTCCCAAAGTCTTGGGATTACAGGTGTGAGCCACCACGCCTGACCTGAGGTGCAGGACTTATTAACCTGTGCCTGGCATGGCCCTGAATCTTTCTTATTTATTTATTTATTATTGATTGATTGATTGATTGATTGAGTCAGGGTCTCACTCTGTCACCCAGGCTGGAGTGCAGTGGTGCAATCTTGGCTCACTGCAACCTCCACCTCCTGGGTTGAAGTGGTTCTGCCTCAGCCTGCCAAGTAGCCGAGATTACAGTATGTGCCACTACGCCTGGCTAAATTTTGTATTTTTAGTAGAGACGGGGTTTCACCATGTTAGCCAGGCTGGTCTTGAACTCCCAACCTCAAGTGATCTGCCCGCCGCAGCCTCTCAAAGTGCTGGGATTACAGGTGTGAGCCACTGTGCCCAGCCACAGGTCTTATTTTATAATTTGGTATCTTATCACCGCAAGAAGTCTGCTTTTTCAGTCTCATAATCTTATTTTAACACAAATGCGAGTGACTTGTAGCTAAGTCACAAAAGGGAGGAGTTGTAATGACGGGAGTTGGACCTCACACCCATCATGGCTAGGAACTCAGTTTTCAGCTTTTCTGAGGTCCCCTTGGCCAAGAGGGGATCCATTCAGTCAGGGAGGAGTTTAGGATTTTATTTTTAGGCCATATTCCCTTCTTTTGGCCAAGATTTGCCAGAGATAGCATTAATGGCCAAACTTTTATTTTGTCCCATATGGCCGCTGGAGTGGTGTGCTATGCGCCCTGGGTCCATCTTATCCCTTGGTGGGACCCCCTATGGCCAAGTTACTTAGAGCCACAAGATTTAAAGACAGTTAATTGTTTCAGGACAGACAAGAAAGGAGATGGGCAGGCGCTCATTAACTTTAAAAACCTGTGTGCAGGCTGAGTACAGTGGCTCACACCTGTAATCCCAGCACTTTGAGAGGCTGAGGCAGGCTGATCACCCGAGGTCAGGAGTTCGAGACCAGCCTGGCCAACATGGTGAAACACCCTCTCTACTGAAAATACAAAATTAGCCAGGCATGGTGCCATGTACCCGTAATCCCAGCTACTTGGAAGACTGAGGCAGGAGAATCGCTTGAACCCGGGAGGCGGAGGTTGCAGTGAGCCAAGATTTCGCCATTACACTCCAGCCTGGGCAACAAGGCAAAACTCCATCTCAAAAATAAATAAATAAATAAACAATATTTTATGCAACCTAAGAACTAAAAACCAAACTCCAGAAAGCAAAGTTACAAAATTGACTTACCTTTAAGTTTTATGTATTGAGCTGCCGGCTATTCGGGTATTTGTGAACTGTCTCTGATTCAGAGGGTCTGAACAAACTTTATCCCTCGAAACCAGCTCTTAGTTCTCATGCGGTTACCTCTTCTGCCATCGTCCCTGGGCCTAGAGGGAGGGCACTTGATATCAAATCAGATTGGACCCAAAGGGATTTTAAATAATTTTCAGATTCTGGAGATATCAGTAGAAAGAGATAATCTTCGCTTTTCACTTAATTTTTGTAGCTATAAATAGCTCAAAAGGAAAAAGTTTTTTTGATTCTGGAAGACAAAACATGAAGAATTAGTAATGTTTCGAACAGAAATATAAGCCCTATCTAGTTTTGACAACAACAGGAAAGGAAGCTCACAGGTAACTAAATATTCAAATTATTTAGTTCAAGGCATAGAAGAAATGAAGAAATTATATTAACTCAGAGGCAAAAAAAAAAAAAAAAAAAAAAATTTTTTGAGACGGAGTCTCGCTCTGTTGCCCAGGATTGAGTGCAGTGGTTCAACCTCTGCCTTCCGGGTTTAAGCGATTCTCCCACCTCAGCCTCCTGAGTGTCTGGAATTACAGGCACCTGCCACCACACCAGCTACATTTTTATATTTTTGGTAAAGACAGGGTTTCAACATGTTGGCCAGGCTGGTCTCAAACTCCTGACTTCAAGTGACCGATCGCCTAGGCCTCTCAAAATGCTGGGATCACAAGAGTGAAGACCACACCCAGCCAGATAGAGGCAAAATTGTTAAATGGATCTTTGAATACAGGCCTGTTCTGTGTCTCTTGAAAGCAGTTTGACTTCAGTTGCTGTGTTCTCCTAGGTGGGAAGACTGAGAGATTACATAAGACTTAAATGCTTTAAAATTTGTTGAAACTGATTGATGGTCCAGCACGTGACCAGTTTTCGTAAATGTCCTGTGTACTTGTAAAGAATGTGGGGACAGTGAATCAAACGAAAAAGCTTCATTAAAACAAAACAAAACAAAACAAAAAAGAATGTGGGAGGCGGGCGGATCACAAGATCAGGAGTTCAAGACCAATATGGTGAAACCCTGTCTGTACTAACAATACAAAAATTAGCCAGGCCTGGTGACGGGCACCTGTAGTCCCAGCTACTCAGGAGGCTGAGACAGGAGAATCACCTCTGGGAGCTGGAGGTTGTAGTAAGCCAAGATCGAGCCAGCCTGGGCGATAGAGGGAGACTCTGCCTCAAAAAAAAAAAAAAAAAAAAAAAAAAAGTGCATTCATTCCACAGTTGTAGGCTTAGTGTTCCTTGGAAGTCCATTATGCTCATTTTCTTTTTCTTTTTTTAGAGAAGAGGTCTTGCTCTGTCGCCCCAGCTGGAGTGCAGTAGCACGATCATGGCTTACTGCAGCTTCAAACTCCTGGCTCAAGGGATCCTCCTGCCTCAGCCTCCCAAGTAGGTGGGACTCAGAGGTGAGCCACCACACCAGGCTTCATTACGCTAGTTTTCTTAATTGGCATTGGAGAAAAACCATAAAATTAAGGGGAAAGGGTAGATACTAAAAGAGAGTGTTATTGGAGTATGATTGGAGGTGGAGTGAGTGAAGGAAATTGACCTTGCCCTCATGGAGCTGTTGAGGAGTCCAAATGAGCAGTATAGAGGCCCCACTTGGTTGAGTGAGATGGAGAAATTCAAGACCTATTTTTGAGACAGTACGCTGGACACTTCACTAATTAAAAAATAATCGTATAAATTACTAGGAGCAAGAATGTTCATACAGAATGTTAACAGCAACAGTAAAAGCAGTGGCAAAAGTAACCACACAAGCGGAAATGTGAAAACCACCACGACGATGAGACCATACAGCCCAGCGGGGTGTCACTGACAGGGTGGTGGGTGCCCACTCCTCCTCCTCCTCCTCCTCCTCCCTCCTCCTCCTCCTCCCTCCTCCTCCTCCTCCCTCCTCCTCCTCCTCCTCCTCCAGCTCCTACGGGTCTTCCTACAGCCCCTGCTACTCTCTCTTCCAGTCCCTACCTTCTTAGTCCCTCCTCCTCTCCCAGCCCCCTCCTCCCTCCTCTTCCTCCCTCCTCCTCTCCCAGCCCCCTCCTCCCTCCTCCTCCTCCCGCCTCCTCTCCCACCCCACCATCCAAGTCCTCCTCCTCCTCCAGCTCCTCGTCCTCTCCCAGCTCCTCCTCCTCCTCCTCTCCCAGCCCCCCACCATCCTGCCCCTTCTCCTCTGGCTCCTCCTTTTCCTGCTCCTCCTTCCCCAACTCCTCCTCCTCCAGCCCCTCCTCCTCCTCGCTCAGACCCTCACCATCCAGCCCCTCCTCCTCCTCTTCCAGCTCCCTCTGGGGCCTCACGCAGCGATCGATGGCTCGGGCTCGTCGCACCCGCCTGCCTGGCCTCTGCGCTCGGCTCGCCAGGCCTGCGGCGCTGCCATGGAGACACTGCCCGCGGCCTCGCGAGCCCCGCAGCGCATCGGCCCCGCCGCCCGCGTCTCCGAGGCCCACGACGCGCGGTGACCGGCGCGGGCGACGTGGGGGACCCGGGGAGGTGAGCGGATGCAGGGGGCGGGAGGATGGCGCGACCCGGAGCGCGCGGGGTCCGGGGCACGAGACGGGGGCCCCAGGGTGCGCGCGGGCGGCGGAGCGAGCGCGGCCATCCCGGGAGGGGAGGCCCCTGACGCTGCGCGGCGGGGAAGGCGTTCGGGAGCGGTTCCCTGTTCGCCTGCTCCTGACATGGTGTCTGTCTGGGTCCAGGGGCCTCCCGGGAGCTGGATGCTCGGAGCAGAAAGGCAGCCCCTGCGGGTCCCGGGGCTGGCGCCTGGCGCCTTTCGAGCGCTGCTGGCCGGTGATTCACAGATGGAGACCCTGAAGCCCCCGCAAGCAGCCTCCCCAGCACCGCCCAGGGGCTGAAAGCTGGCACTGCGCGCCCGTCTCGCTCCGCGCCCAGCTCCCGGGCTGCGCCACGGCTCGTAGGTGACTGGATCTCGGCCTCCGATCCCCCGAGGGCTGACGCTGCGCCCTAGACGGCCGCCTGCCTGACCTCCCCTCGCCTGATCGCACGTTCGTTCCTCCGCAGCAGCACCACTGGGGAGAGACGAGACCTGAACAGACGCTGGGGCCGGATCCCCAGGGTGGGTCGGAACAGCCGCCGCCCCGAACGCCGGCCCGGACAGATGCGTGCAGGGCATGCCGCCGGAGCTCCTTCCACCTTCCATCTGGGGCCACCATGTCCCTTCCTCAGCGTGCTGGATCCATTTCTTCAAGCTCAGTGGTCCAGGCCATGGTGGCAGAATCACCCCCCAGGGTGTGACGCCTCGCCCCTGTCACTTCCACGCAGCTGCACCCGGAAGAGCTGTGGCCAGGCACCGCTGTGACCTGCCTGCTGTCCACTGAATGGGCCTCAGGTGTCTTCAGAATGGCGAGGCCGCCTCGAGTTTCTTCACCACACAACGCTCCTGAAGACGCTGCCTGCAAATGGGCTGAATTCCTGATTTCTACCATTCAGTTAAACAAGGGATCCTTAAACCCCAAAGCTCGGAAAGCTGTCCGTTAATTTAGTGTGCAGCGTGTGGCAGCTGTCCACGAGTGGCCCTTCTCAGAACAGCAGGTTCCCAGGAGTCCAGCAGGACAGGGGAGGGGATGAGTGGCCGCGTGCCCCTGGCGGAGAAGGCCTTGTCTGAAGGCCACGCCCGCCTCCGGTACAGGGACACCTCCTTGCTCATCTGGCAGCAGCAGCAGAGGAAGTTGGAGTCGGTGCCGCCCGGGACGTACCTGGGCAGGAGCCGGAGCATGTGGTACTCACAGTATGGAAATGAGGCCATCTTGGTCCGAGACAAAAACAAGCTCGAGGTCTCGAGGGACACAGGGCAGTCCAAGTTTTGCACAATTATGTGATTACGGTGTGAAAACCTGAGCCCAGAACCACACTTTGAGGAAAACAGACCTGGGTTTAATTCAGGTGTCTTGCTGATAATCCTGCTGGAAGGTTTGAAGATCAAACTGCGGGATAGGAACTCAAGAAGGCCGGCGTCGGCTCCTGAGCCCCTCAGCACAGCAACGGTGTGACTGGTGCACGGGACACTTCCCCTGTAGAGTCCCCTCGTGGTCAGCTGTTGTAACATTTGAATCCTCCAGGTGCTGCTAGGGACAGCATAGGCCTGGGCACTGCTAGATGCTTGGTTTAAACCAAGCCAAGAGCGCCCCTCCCATCCCCACTGCAAACCACCTTCAAGTTTGTAAAGGTTTTGGTTTTCTTTTGTTTTTGGCACACACGGCGAGTAGCAGCAGCATCTCATCGGGACCTTTGTTTCGCTTACATTTTTTTTTTTTCCTTTTTTGAGACAGGGTCTCACTCTGTTGCCCAGGCTGGAATGCGGTGGCACCATCACAGCTCACTGCAGCCTCTATCTCCGGGGCTCAGGTGATCCTCCCAAAGCTCAGCCTCCCAGGCAGCTGTGGCTACCCGGTGAACTAGTGTTTATAGAGATAGGGTTTCCCTGTGTTGCCCAGGCTGGTCCTGCAGTCATGGGGTCAGGCCTCCCAAAGTGCTGGGATTACAGGCACCGGCCACTGCACCCAGCCTGCACTTGTATCTTGAGTCACCAAAACAGTCGTCATGTGTGAAGCATCATGGTAGCTTCCAAGCATTTGAGGCCATTTGGCCAGTACATCCAAAACACCGGAAACTGGAGAGTTGTAAGTTGCACACGTGTGGCCTACAGTGCTCTCCAGTGCAGTGATGACGCTGAGCAGGGCAGGCTCTCCGTCAGGCTTAAAGCATTCAGCCTCTCTGCCGCCAGGCCACTGCTCCCCTCCATTCAGTGTTTGTCATGTGTTCACTGTTGCTGCCACAGCTGGCCACCCGTGCGTGCAGTCTCCACGGAGGGCCTCGCCCTCTGCCCTCACTGACATCTGCTCGGCTACACAAATGTGTAGGTGTCTTCTGTCAAAGCTAATTTTTTTCCAAATAAACATCCTTTAGTACACACCTCCCCTTCCTGACATTCTTATTTTTATCCTTGTTTGTAATTTCCTACTTGGCTTCCCATATTTTAAATAACAGTGATATCTAACTGATTGCTAAAAACTCCAGTACAGAAAGACATAAAGCAAAGCAAACGTGCTCTCCCCGGGAAGAACCTGGCTGGCAGCTAGGGGCACGTCCCGTGGCTCATCAGTGTGCACACACAGCCACGCGATTCTGAAGGCCTCATCCTGCACCATGCCTCTTGTTCTGCCATTTTTCTTGCTCAACTGTACGGTCTGGTCATTCACTTCATGCTTTTTTTTCGTGAGATAGTCTCACTCTATTGCCCAGGCTGGAGTGCAGTGGCACAATCTCGGCTCACTGCAACCTCTGCCTCCTGGGTTCAGGTGATTTTCCTGCCTCAGCCCCCCAAGAAGCTGGAATTACAGGTGCGTGCCACCACAACCGGTTGATTTTTGTATTTTTAGTAGAGATGGGGTTCCACCTCGTTGGCCAGGCTGGTCTCAAACTCCCAGTCTCAGGTGATCTGCCCATCTTGGCCTCCCAAGGTGCTGGGATTACAGGAGCGAGCCACCTCGCCCAGCCCGCTTCATGCTTTATTGTATCTGACTAGCAACACTCCTGTGAGCCCACAGATGAGCACAGAGGCAGCGTTTCGGTGTCATCCGTGCAAACAGCGTCTCTGAATGCGCCTGCACTCTCAGTTCACGCTTCTCTTTGCAGCCGTGCAGGTTCATTTGCAAACATCCTAGAGGTGGGACCGCTGGGTCAAACTGCATTCCCCAAATGTCCTGCCAGAGGCCCGGTTGACAGCAGCCTCCTTCGCAGCCCGTCTTTTCTGCGAGATTTCTGTCTTGTCGGCAGCCTCCAGCTGGGAGGTTTGAAGTCAGACTTCCAGGACTGCCATATGGAGCTGCAGACCGAGTGAGCTCAGGGCTGGAGGACCTGCCCTGCCCTGCCGGCTGACATTCCTACAGTAAGGGCGGGTCCATGAAGGAAGCACTCCACGTCCGCTAGGTAGGGTTTATTCAGTTTAAGTCCTGCCTGGGGCGAAAGCAAACTCCAGAGGCAAGTCTGCAACACCTGTGCGCCACCTGCTCACCGCACCACAGACTCATGGGTTGTGGTGGGTTTGGCCCCAAGCTTGGGAGGCAGCGCTGACATGAAGGATGGGGTCTGAGGTCACGTGCAGAACTGGAAGGATGTATGCTCACGGGCCAGTCTCTGCAGAGGTCAGGGCGTGTGGGTCATGGACAGGCCAGCTGGCACTAAGCTGATTAGGCTGCAGGAAGACGCCATCTGCCTCGGGCGGACAAGGCCCCATGTCTGTCCTCAAGGAGGCTGGTCTGGATGAGAATGGTCATAGTCTGGCCAGGAGTGATGCCGCGCCCCCGACCCTCTGTCGGGTCGGGTTGGGCAGGTCCTCAGGCCTAGACGTGTGCCCAACCAGAACCGTCTCCCCTGGAATGTCTTCTTCCAGGCCTAGTTCCAGTACCAGCAATTGTGAGAAGCCGACACTTCATTCTTCTGTGATCCTCACCACATGCCAGCCTCTGCAGTCTGGCAGTTAAACCTCCCTATGAACATCTGCTTTTGGGGTTTTATTTCCATGTCCATTAAGACTGAGTGAAATCACAGGAAGACACTTCAGGGCAGACAGATGCAGAGGGAGGGGACAAGTGGCCAGGTCAACTAGAAGAGCACAGAACCTAGCTGTCTCAGAGAGCAGCTTGTACCAGGGAACCAGTGAACTGTCAGTAAAGCAGACTGTAGCTTCCTAGTGAGGCAAGAAATGAGGCTCTCTTCACCCTGCCAGGGCTCAGGACAAGCGCTATTTAATGGTTCGGTTATTATTATTTTTTCTTTTATCTCCACTTATTGGTATTCAGGTTATTATTTTTTTTAAAGAGATGTTGGCTGGACATGGTGGCTTATGCCTGTAATCCCAGCACTTTGGCAAGCTGAGGTTGGCAGATCACCAGGTCAGGAGATCGAGACCATCCTGGCTAACACGGTGAAACCCCGTCTCTACTACAGATACAAAAAATTAGCTGAGCATGGTGGCATGTGCCTGTAGTTCCAGCTACCCGGCAGGCTGACACAGAATTGCTTGAACCCAGGAGGTGGAGTTGAAGTGAGCCAAGATTGTGCCACTGCACTCCAGCCTGGTGACAGATCAAGACTCTGTCTCAAAAAAAAAAAAAAAAAAAAAAAAATTTAAAAAAAGGAACAGCGATGTCTAGGCTGGAGTGCAGTGGTGCAATCATGGCTTACTGCAGCCTCAAACTCCTGGGCTCAGGCCATCCTCCTGCCTTGGCCTCCTGAAGTGCTGGGGTCACAGGCACAAGCCAGGGCATCCTGCCTGTAAATGGTTTTTTGGGCGCCTTCTGGCTGCCCTGGGTATTTCCGCCAGGAGTTACAAGACGTCAAGTGTGGGGAGCTCGCCACCTTCAGTGTGGACCAGTGAAGGCTGTTCTAGACCACCTGCTTTCAGATATTTCCAGGCTCCGGGAGAGAGGCACAGGAAAGCACAGGAAAATGCAAAAACAGCTTTTTTGTTTGTTTGTTTGCTTTTTATTATGAAAACAAAACAAATGCCCCAGGAGAAGGGTCCATGATTACCAGAAACATCAAAGAGTACTTTCTACCATTTTTATTCTGTTGTGTTGAGGCCAGCATTGCAATAAACAAGCTAAAACTACTTACATTGGACTCATTTTCAGTAACTGACATTTACAGGAATATACTAGAAACGGCACTAAAAAGTTTAAGAAAAGTTACGGTAAACTTGCATGCACATCATACAGAAAAGTAACATTTTAAATATAAAAAAGAAAAACTTCCTGGAAGCGTTATGCCAGTATTGAGAACAGCGCTACACTGGATGTGACACATTCTTTATGTGGGGTGTTACTCTTTCCCAAAAGACTGTCAAGAGGCGTTAGTGCTGCAAAAGAACAAAACCGAAAACAAACACAAAAGAAACCGTCTTACACTTTGTAAGCAAGATGCCACCGCCCAGCACAAAGAGGGGTCTGGAGTTCAGTTCACACCCGAAGCCTGCCCCCTCGGCCTCCAGGGGTCAGAGTGTTTTCAAATCCACTTCCCACACACAACTTGTCACTGCTCCTTTGCCCTTGAAAAAAGCACGTTAGAAGTTGCCCTACAGGACTCGGCAGTGGGACAATCTAACTGAATCACCACGGCCTTCTAATACAGAAGAAATGGATGTGGCCGTCACACTCAGCCCGCCGGCAAGGGCGTTGAGGAAGACATCAATCCTTCAAAACTCTGAAAAGAAACCAGTGTTGAAGCCTGGACAGAAAGCCTTAAAAAAGTGACAGCACCAATGCAGCTGCTCAGTGTGCCCTTGGTGGGCTGCCAGGGTCAGCAGCTTCTAGACAAGAGGAGCGGAGGTGAGCACGATGCCACCATCGCAGAGAACCAGCCGAGAAGGAAGGGCCCCACGACGCTCCTGCTGTGCCACCCCTGCAGCCAGCCGCTCCCCTGACAGTGCACGCAGGCCACTCACTGCTGTGCGGCTGGAGGGCCACTGCAAGGAGCGCCCCACATGCCCAGGCACCCTGGCTTAGGGTGTGCATCACCCGGCCCTGTGCTGGCAGCATGCTACCGATCAGCCTGTGTGAAGACCTGTCAGCTGTTGTGTGTGAATCCCTTAAGCTCAGTTTAAATAGTCCATTAAAGATCTGTTTAGAAAATACCTTTGAAAAACAAGGGTAACTTTAAAAAAATTGAAACTTTCAAATCCATTTATATTTTTATTATAAACAAAACTTAATTAAAAGTTTAACAAACTGGCTGAAAACTCACCAAGTGTCAGACTCACCAGCAATTTAAAAAATGGTCATTTACCAGCATTTCCTCATCAGAGTTCCCTCTACAGTAAGGGCATACCTAGATCTGTAAGGGATGGCGGACTCTGAATTTTATGGTTTTTTAAAAATCACCACATATGAGGATACTAACAATTGCTTGAACCCAGGATCAAGCAATATCCTATATCCATCCAGAAGTGCTGGCAGAAAGAACTGGCCACCATCCAGGACAGACCACACCATAGCTCCACTATATCCATCCAGAAGTGCTGGCAGAAAGAACTGGCCACCATCCAGGACAGACCACACCATAGCTCCACACCCAGCGCCCCCCTGGAGGCTCCCCAACGCCGAGGTCCGGGAGAATGCCTGCTTTCAGGCATTTCTGGGCTGTAACTATGCGGGAGCAGGAGCACCCTGCGAGTCTCGGGGAGGGAATCTTCCTGGGGCCCAGAGACTCCTCCACCCAAGGAGGGCAGAGAGGCTGAGGAGGGCCTGGCCAGGTGCCTGGAGGCTGGCAGGGGGAAGCATCCCCACCCACAGGCCTGGGAGGCTGACCCTGGCATTCCTGGCTGAAGCCGCCATGCTCAGAGCTTGGTGGGCCGGTTTGGGGCATCCCCACACTCAAAGACCAAATGGCAGCCTCCGGGAAAACAAAACCGAAACATAACCTTCTGTTAAACTCTGTATATTATTATTTTTTTACAATAGAAAGTTAAAAATCAAGACTTAGATTTACTATACATTTTTTCTCTGATTACAAAGTTTATATTATATAACTGGGGTTCCCTAAATTGATTTCTTTTAAAACAGTCTTAAAGAGACCAGAAGTGAATACAAAAGAACTAAACAAAATAAAAAATTAGAATGTGCTGTAGCTGAAAGCGGTCTAAACCTGTAAGTCTCCAAGTTTCATTTAAAAAAAAAAAAAAAAAAAAAAAAAAACCCACAAAGAAAAACAACCAAAAAACCCAACGAACCCAGGGGCGAGCGCGCGAACACAGACGTGGGTGGGCACGGCGCGGGGCGGAGGTTAGCACCTGGAGACGACAGGCCTGCCACCAGGCAGGCCCCGGGCCCGGCACGCCACCGAAAAGGCCTGCATCTCTGCGATTGTTTGAATGCATGTCCTCTGCGGTTTGTTTTTCTTTTCTTGTTTTTTTAAAAAATGATCAATGATGTTAATAAATAACTATTATATACACATAAGCTCGGGAAAGCGGCTCCCAAGGGCGCAGCAGCAGCAGCAGGGGCAGCGCTAGCCAGGCGGGGACGCACATCGGGCTGGACTTCCGTAGAAAATTGCCAAACCTTACAAAAAAAGTCTCCTTTTGTTTTTTTAATCTTTTCTTCTGTTTTTTAAAGTTGAGGTAAAAGCTTCAGTGTATGGAAACCTGCAGGCTGCACACACAGCCGCGCCGTTCCCTCTGAGGAGCTCCGGATTTCACCACGTCGGAGAAGACGACACCCCTCCTGGCCATGACCCCACCTGTCCCCACCCCAAGGGTTCCACGCTCCGGGCTGGGGCTTCGAAGACCTTTCGCTTAGGCCCAGCCTGGTCCCCACAAGCAGGCACATCTGTCCTCAGCCCCTCCAGAAAGAGGCAGCCGCGTCAGACACGAGGGTCAGAGCTTGAGGCCCAGGTGACAGGGACAATACCTGTTTGGAAAGCTAACAGCTTTCAAGTACGGTGCCCATGTCCGAGACACTTCCTGGGAAAAGATTCTTTCTGGAGCTACAGACCAGGCTGGGCCTAAGCAAAGGGATTCCACGAGGTCCTTCGGTGCCAGTCTCACACGGTTTTCTGGGGTCATCGGGTTAGCATTTGAAGTTGCCATCTCCAAGTGACTGAATTCAGTGATGAAGAAGACACTTTCTGCAGAGTTCACACCTTCTCATCAAATCTAACGCACACACAAGATAGATCTCTGACCTATGAAAGCAAAAACTGGAAGATATCGTAACACTGAATGAAAAAGACCTGCACACCATGGAACAAAGGTAGTATATTAACCACAGAAGGGGCACGGCAGAGTCTCGGCGTGGGCGGCATCCATCTGTCCTGTTGTGTCCGAAGCCAGTTCATTCTGAGTCGCTGCTGTCAGAGCTGGACCCGCTGGAGCTGCTGCTCCCAGACTCGGAGGAGCTGCTGCTGCTGAGCCTGGAAGGGCCCCCTGAGGGTGCAGAGCCGGGTTTCTCTGTGGAGACATGGGCGGGAAGGCGCGCTCACTGCACACCCCCTCCTCAACCCCCTTGGTGGCACCGCCATGCTTCATGCCACAATCCACCCATTTCCTGACCCTGCCGTTTAATAAGCATTTATTGAAATTAATCAGGTCAACAAGACTATCTGAATCTACCTGAGACACTCACACAGGAAGCGATGGATGGGAGGAAAGGCTGTACAGAAAACATCCCCCGTCATGTGGCCACCAGCAGTACTGACAGGACACGGGCAGCTGGACTGCTTACTCTTCCTGGGGCGCCCCAAGAGTGACTACAGAGACAGAGCCCTTCAGCAGGCAGGGTCATGGGACCTGTCTCGACGCTGGGCAAACTGTCGCAAGGCCATGGCCCAGCTGGAACATGCTCCAGTGCAGACAGGACCCTACTGTCCCCCATGTGCACATCCTGGAAGCCAGGGAAAGAGACATGTGTTCTTTCTAACAGGGTCCAGGAAAAGGAGGCAAGGGATCAAATGCCGGCTCCCCTGAACACATAGCCTGGCAATGCACAGGGCATGGGGCCGGCCTCCCATGTCTGCTACCCCAGCCTGCCGTGGAAGTGCTGCCGCCAGCAGAACAGTCAGAAAGCTCACTGCCTAAGGGCTGGGCTCCTGGTTAAGCCCCACAGGAGCCTGTGGGAGAGGTGGTGCCCTGGAAAGCGCTGTGTTCACACACACCCCACATGCGCATACTCCCTACAGGGTTGGGGTGTGACCCTCTCCAGTGACAGACAAGCAAATCGAGGTTCCAGGAGCTCAAGAGCTCATCTAAGAACACAGAGTGGCCAGCGCAGTGGCTCATGCCTGTAATCTCAGCATTTTGGGAGGCCAAGGCGGGTGGATCACAAGGTCGGGAGTTCAAGACCAGCCTGGCCAACATGGTGAAACACCATCTCTACTAAAAATATAAAACATTAGCCGGGCGTGGTGGCGGGCGCCTGTAATCCCAGCTACTCGGGAGGCTGAGGCAGAGAATTGCTTGAATCCAGAAGCAGAGGTTGTAGTGAGCAGAGGTCACGCCACTGCACTCCAGCCCTGGTGACAGAGGGAGACTCTGTCTCAAAACAACAGCAACACAGAGCTTATGAGGAGGCAGTCACACTCAGATGTGGACCTGCTGGGTGCTCAAACCCCTACTGCTGACCCCTCACCCCACCAAAGAGGGAGGCACGGCGGCTGCAGGCAGTACCTTTCCGGGCAGGCTTCTTGCTGCTGCTCAGCTGCCCACTGACGTCCTGCAGACGCTTCTCCAGCTCCTTCTTCTTTTCCTGAGCTAGCTCCTCTTTCGACTTGGCTGCCTGCTTCTTCCCGCTTGCTGCTGTCGGGGAACAAATGGGCGCTGAGACCACAAAAGGGACCGATGGAGCAGGAGCCAGGGTGGCACCCAGGCGGCCACGGCCCCAGCCCTGCACACTGTGTCCAAGCCAGCTGCCCGGCTTTCACAGGTTTGGAGCTGACAGATGCAGAGCTGTCGCCAGGGCTTCGAGTGGCAGAAATGACTGGGATGAGACAGACCCACCCACCCGCCTCTGCTGTCCACTCAGGGTGTACAAAGCCTGGATCGTAAGGTAGAAGAGGCCATTCCATGGCGCCAACAGGTACAGGGACAGGACATGGTTTAGCCAGCGTCCCTGACATGCAGGGCAGAGCCTCTGACTCATGACCTGCCTCACCAGGTCTCTGCCTGGGCAGCAAGGATGATGTGGTCCTGGGGTCCGGTCTCCACTGCCTGATACTCCTGAGTCGCTCCCTCCAAGTTGACCCAGTGACTTACCGTGGGTCAGATGTACCGTGACCACACAGGACCACACAGACATTCCATCCAGGAAAGGAGGCTCCCTTTTTCAGAGGGAGGCCCGAGCATACTTGAGAGGCCACACGAAAGTTCAAGTGAGCCTTGCACTCACTTGACAGCCTGCGGGAGGTACAAGGCCTGTCTCTCATCTGCCCTCCCTCCTACTCTGCCGGACCTGCAGATCCTGGCAGTGACTTGTTCCTGCCATCAACTTCATGGAAGCCTGGGCTGGTGCCGGGGTCCGTCCTGTGAGGCCTCCGGACTTGTGACCCTAATCAAAGGGAGGGTGTCCTTGTTGTAAGTGAAGCTGGTCTGCCCTGCAAGGGACCATCAGAGAGGTCACCTGCAGCCAAGGCCCCAAATGGAGCCTCAGAAAGGCATGCAGTGAGGACCCTAACTGGGCCCTTAATGAATGGGGTTTGGGGCTGGAGCCCAGCCCCAGGGTCGTGCCTTCCCTGGACAAGGTTAAGGCCAACGCACACAAGTGCTGCCCACATCCCCGAGAACAGGAAAAGCAGGCTCTGGCTGGGTGGGGCTCAGGCCTGGGTTCAGCCCCAAGCCCGCTGTCCCTGGTGGACCACAGATATCCTCAGGGCATGAGGTGGGACGGACAAGCCAAGACAGCGTGGCAGCCCTGTGCCCACGCTCGCAGACGGGGGCTGTGAGGAGTGAGAGAGGGACAGGCCAAGGAGGGGAGAGGAGCTTCGAGCACCACACTCCACCCAGGCAACTTACAGAACGGTTTCCTTTGCTTTTTCTGTAAACAAGACTTGACATATCTCTCCAGTTCCCGCAAAGTGGTGGGTTTCAGAGTCTCAAAGTCAATTTCTATCTCGTCGGGGTTGGAGTCCCTGAGCGAGGGCTCCCGAGACTGGATGATGTGTACCACCCGGCCCAGCTTCTCCCCGGGCAGCCGGTTGATGTCCAGGCTGAGCTGGCGCTTCTCATCGTAGCTCATGGGCAGGCCCTCCTCCTCTTCCTCCGAGTCGTAGGAGGCGGATGCCTGCTTGCCGCCTTTCTTCAGCTGTCTGGGGCAGAAGACAGAGCAACGTGGCGCTGAGACTCTGTCCACCTGCCCTGGGAGCCCACTGCACACTCCCCTTCCTCCCGACAGCAGGCTGCTCTCTGGGCCCAAGCTTTCTTCCCGAAGTGGTGCCTCAAGGCAGAAAATCAAAGGTTAGAAAAGTTGCTCCCAGCAGGGGGGTTTCCAGACCTCGGCCAGGAAACGGTTACAGAGGCTAGTTCCTCTCTACACCCCACGGGCGTCTCAAACTCCACAGGTCAATAAATGATCTCTGTATTCAGGTAATCCAAAAGAAGGCAAGAAAGGGGGACACAAAGGAACAAAAGACGCAGAGGAAAAAGAAAATAAAACGGCAGACCAAAATCCAATTACATCAGTAACTATGTGAAATGCCAACGGTCTCAACACACCAACTAAAAGCAAGAGATGCTCGAGTTAGACGAAAAAACAAGAACCAGTGCACATAGTATCGACACAAACGCCACTCTACATAGTGTTCTAGGTACGTTAAAAGGAAAAAAGAGGAAAAAATACACCATGCAAACATTAGTCAAAGAAAGCTGGGGTGGCTATATTAATTTCACACAAAGTAAGCTTCAGAAAAAGGGAGTATTTGCAGGAAAAAAGGACAGTGCAGGGCCAGTCACAGTGGCTCACGCCTGTAATCCCAGCACTTTAGGAGGCCGAGGCGGGTGGATCGTCTGAGGTCAGGAGTTCGAGACCCACCTGGGTTATATGGTGAAACACTATCTCTACTAAAAATACAAAAATTAGCCAGGCAGCCAGGCGCGGTGGCTCAAGCCTGTAATCCCAGCACTTTGGGAGGCTGAGGCGGGTGGATCATGAGGTCAGGAGATCGAGACCATCCTGGTCAACACGGTGAAACCCCGCCTCTACTAAAAATACAAAAAATTAGCTGGGCATGGTGGCGCGTGCCTGTAATCCCAGCTACTCAGGAGGCTGAGGCAGGAGAATTTCCTGAACCCAGGAGGCGGAGGTTGCAGTGAGCCGAGATTGCACCATTGCACTCCAGCCTGGGTAACAAGGGCGAAACTCTGTCTCAAAAAAAAAAAAAAAAAATTAGCCAGGCATGGTGGCAAGCACCTGTAATCTCAGCTACTCAGGAGGCCGAGGCAGGAGAATCACTTGAACCTGGGAGATGCAGGTGGCAGTGAGCCGAGATTGTGCAACTGCAGTCTAGCCTGGGCAACAGACTCCATCTCAAAAAAATTAAAAAAAAAAAAAAAGGTCTCAAGTCAGTAATCTAATCTTCTACCTTAAAAAACCTAAAAAAAGAAGAATCCAGTCTAAACTAAGCAAAAGGAAATTGTAAAGATCAGAAATAAAGTAAAAACATTTCAAAAAAAAAAATCAATGAAATAAAATTGTTTCTTTGAAAGATCAATAAAATTGGTAAGTCTCTATCCAGATTCACCAAGAAAAAAGACACAAATGACCAATATCAGGAATAAAAAAGACACATCACTACGGGCCCTACAGACATCAAAAGGATAACAGAGGAATACTAATCAACAAACTATGTCCCTAAGTTTGACAATCTGTGTGGAATGGATTAACGCCTTCAAAGGCTAACACTGACTCAAGAAGAAACTGATAATCTAATAATCCTATACCCACTAAACAACCAAAACTCCAGGCCAGACGGTTTTGGTAGTGAATCCTACCAACCATTTAAGTATTAACATCAGTTCTATAAATTCACTCCAGAAAACTGAAGGGAGGGGCAATACTTTTCAAATCATTTTTTCATTGCCTCTAATCATTCAAATATTGTGTCTCCAAGCCTTTTTTTTTTTTTTTTTTTAATAAGATACAGAGTCCCACTCCATTCCCCGCAGTGGTCTCAAACTCCTGAGCTCAAGTGATCCTCCTGCCTTGGCTCCTCAAAGTGCTGGGATGACAGGTGGGAGCCACCGCACCTGGCCCCAACTCATTTTTGAAACCAGCATTATATTGATACCAGACAAAAATAGTATAGGCTGAGCATCCCAAATCCAAAATGCTCCAAAATCTGAAACTGCTCAAAGGAAATGCTCACTGGAGCATTTCAGATTTGAGATGCTCAACATTTTCAAATATTTGAAATGCAAATATTTCAAAATCTGAAGCTTTTTTTTTTTTTTAAATATCCTTATTTTAAATAAAGGATACTTGACCTGTATAAAAAATGGATGTCTGCATCCTCCTCCAAAAAGGAAAGAGAAAAGAAGGGAAGAAGGGAAGGGAAGAACTACCCCGACCATCCCACTTGCTGCTCCCTTAATGGCTGACCCAGCTGTCCAAACCTAAACCCAGGACCCCTGAGCTCTTCTCCCCCTCCCACCAAGCACCAAGGCCTGGCCATGCCACTTCCAAAATAATGCCGTCTCCAGAGCCACGCCAATTTCTATTGCCTGCAGAACCATGATAACCTCCAAAGGGGTATCCATGCTTCTCCCACTCCTGTTTCCCACTAAGCTATTCTCCACAGCGACAAGGATCCAAATACTTTGAGCTTAAGTCCTAACTTCCCTTCATTTGCTTGAAAAGGAATCATGAACACCTCAAACAAAGCTGGCGGATCTCAGCAGCCTCAACTCACCTCTTTTCCCAACTTGTTCTTTTTCAGTGGTGCCAACTTTGCCCTCATTCCCAAAAGGAACACGTCCTACTGGTCTCTCTGGCTTTGTACTGCTGTTCCCTGTTCTTGGAACTCCCTCCCCGGCACTCTGCTGCCAAGCTTACTCCCACATGGCTATGGGCTCCCCCTTGGGAAGCCTCCCTTCCACCTGGCCAGGAGAGGAATCCTGGGCCTGAAGGTCTTCCCTACTAGCTCATGGTGCTTTGTGGCTCCTGCGTGTCCCTAGCAGACACAGGGCGGTACCCAGCCACAGCAGGGACTCCCAAAGGAGACCGAATGCACCCGTGCACGATTCCACCACCACTGCCCCTTGCCTATGGGCAAGCCCAAAATGGGGCACTCAGCTCCCCCTAGTCAAGATCTTTGGCCCAGACCAGGAAAACATCCCAAAAGCTTCATGACGTAGAGACCAGGCTGTGCCAGTGCTTCCATGTCCAGAATCCCGGCCAGCCCTGAAGGCGGCTGAGCAGCACCTCCTAGACCCCTGGACTTCCCAGCACAGGTCTCAGCAGGTCCTCTGTCTCCCCGCCCCCCTCACCCTGGTTTCCAGGTGCCCAAGGTGCAAAGCCCCCAATCCCAGCACTGCGGCTCCGTGAGCCCCGTGGCGCGCTGAGCCCTGGGCTCTTGGTCCCACCTGCCCGCTGCGGTCGTGCTGTTGGCCTTCTTGGCAGGAGCCTTCTTCTGCTGGGCCTGCTTGGCAGGCGGAGCCGCCTTGGCCTTCTTCTCCTCCTCGGCCTTCACCTTGTGCTTCTCCTTCTCCTTCTCCTTGTCTTTCTTCTTCTTCTCCTTCTCCTTCTTCTCCTTCTTCTTCTTTGGTTTGTTTACTGGGGCCTGAGACAGGGCGGCCAGCTGCTCATGCACGGCCTTCAGCTGGAAAAGAGCGGGCAGCTGGGGAGGCGCCGGGCATGGCCTGCACCACTGGGACTGCCTGGGGCCCTGGGATTGAGGGGGCTTGGGGCGACGTCAGAGCTGCCTCAGTTGGGGAAGGAGGTGAACCAGAAGCACCTGGGCCCTGCTCTGCCCCTCACTCCCCTGCGACTGCTAGTGAGTCATGAACCCTCTCCGTCCCAGCTTCCTCACCTGCAATGGGGAAGAGCTGGCTGGCCATAGGCTGAGCACTGCGCAGGTGGCACAGCAGGGACTGTTGCTGCACCCATCAACCCATCATCTACATTAGGTGGGTGGCTGACGTTTTTATTATTTTCATTTTTCAGATAAGGAAGACTATCTAGAAGTTTAAATGCCCTCGCAAAGGAGGCTTTCATCAGTGACTTCTAGGAAGCCATTTGGTAACACGCAGGCCTCCAGGGTTAAATCAATCCACTGCCAGCAGCCAGCATTCATCTGGGGCTGCCCCACTACTGGCTGTGTGCTAAGCGCCTCGCCCACCCCACTCCAGCCACCCCCATGGGAGAGGAGAGGCCCCTTGAGAGGCACTGCCCAGGTGAGGACACAGCCTGTCCCTGTCTCTGGGTGATCTGTGCAAGGCCAACAGCGGGTGCATGAAGGAGCTGCCACCCATGTGGCCACACCTCACAGCCGTCTTCCCTACTGTGTGGTCCTTGCCACTTCAAAATCAAATGTCCGGCCAACTTGGGACTGCAGGACCATCGCTGTCCTTGCGGCCCTGATTCACGCTGTTCCCCTCCTGACTGGACAGCCCTGCTCTATTTTCTTCCAACCTGGGGTCCCAGAAATCATGCACCCAGCTGGCTGCCAGAGGTCTGGGGAAACAATTCCCATCTTTCCCAATTCAACCTCAAGATAGCTCAGAGGGGGTGACATTCATCCCATACTGCAAATGAGGAAAGCGAGGCGGAGAAGGTGGAGGGAAGCACAGCCTGGCAGTGGGGCTGGAGCCGGGCAGCCACACGGCAGGACCCCCAGGACTTTGGAGCCTGTGCCCCACCCCACTTTGAGTGACCGCTTGGAGCCCAGGCACTGTGGTGGCCTCTGCAAGTGCCTCACAGACCTTTCTGGAACAGAGCAAGGCACAGATGACCACTGAGCTCTCACCTGAGGCCCGCCAGGTCTCCAGAAACATCCCAGCCACGTGTCCTTGCAGCCACTCATGCGTGCTGTGGCTCAGGCTCGCACCGCCCCAACCTGGGGAGGGCACCCTGAGGGCCTTTGGGAGGAAGCACTGAGCGGCTGCTGTGGGACATGGGGCCAAGGGGGGACCCACTCAAAGGGACGGACCTCAGGCTGCTGTGCCAGCCATCCGCCTCGGCCCCTCAACTCCACGCCAGCGCGTCAGTGCCCACCTGCTCCTGCAGCTCCGCCAGCCTGGTGGCCCGCTCCTCCTCCGAGTCTGAGCTGCCCGAGTCTGAAGAGCTTTCCTCACTGCTGCGGCTGCTCTCGGCGCCCTTGCTCACCACGGGGGCCGCGGGGGCAGGCAGCGGCGGCGCCTCCACGGGCTCATCTGGCATCTTGGCAAACCTCATCTCGAACACGTCCTGTGGGAGAGCAGGGGCTGTCCTGAAGACCTGCACGCCCACAGGGCTGCCCCTTGGTGTGGACCCCCAGGGTTCCTGAGATGCCCTTGGGCAGCACCCACAGCTGCTACAAAGGTCGGGCCAGGAGGAGATGGGGTTCCGCCTGCCAGGGGGGCTGTAGTTGCTTCCAACTCACCCTCCCTCCCTCCTTCCCTCTCCAGGCAATTCCTGGGGACAGGCCTGGGAGCAGGGGACACAGAAACTGGCCCACAGATCCCTTCACCAAGTTCATGAGCCCTCTCTAGAAGACACATGCATCCTTATAGCCTCCCGGCCGGAAGCTCCCAAGGGGCTGCCCCTGCTGTGAAGCAGGAAGTGTCTTCCTCTGAACTTGGACAGGGTCCTCCGCAGCCACAGGGGTTCAACTGACCTCTTCCCATCTCTTCACCCCAGAATTGACTGCCACATCACAGCTGATGAAGGGTCAACATCAAAAGTTGGCTCAAAAGGCCAAAGTCTAGTCCTACCAGTATTTTATTTACCAAAAAATATATTAGAAGCTAGCCAGTCATGGTGGCACATCCCTGTGATCCTAGTTGCCTGGGAGGCTGCGACGGGCAGATTGCTTGAGCCCAGGAGGTCGAGGCTGCAGTGAGCTGAAATCGTGCCATTGCACTCCAGCCTGGGTGACAGAGTGAGACCCTGTCTCAAATGTATTTCTAAATTTTTTTTACTTTTTTTTTTTCTCAAGACAGAGTCTTGCTCGGTCACCCAGGCTGGAGTGCAATGGTGCAATCACAGCTTGCTGCAACCTCCTGGGTTCAAGGGAGTCTTCTGCCTTGGCCTCCTGAGTAGCTGGGATTACAGGCGCCCACCACCATGCCCGGCTCATTTTTTGTATTTTTAGTAGAGACAGGGTTTCACCATGTTGGACAGGCTGGTCTTGAACTCCTGAGCTAAAGTGATCCTGCAACTTTGGCCTCCCAAAGTGCTGAGATTACAGGCTTGAGTCACCACACCCAGACTTCCTATCAAAATTGACTTTGGAAAGGTTTTGAACCGGGTCCTAGGTCAACAAACGTCCCCTTCCCTGGAGCAGCACAGCTCACTGAAGACAGGGATGCACAGTGAGGTGGAAATGAGGGGAGATTTCTCTTTGCCAAGCTCGTAAACCCGAATCCACATCGTCTGCACACGTGATGTGACCATTCAGGCTAGACTCAGCTCTGGAAAATCCCATCCTGGGCTCTCATCTCCCAGGTTCTCCTCTCAGGAGACATCCCCAGAGGCATCCTGACCCCCAGAGCTGTGGTCCAGGCCCCCACTCAGCCGACAGCCTTGAAGCCATTCAGATCAGGTGGTTTTGGTGCTGGGCTCTAACCCCACAGCTCAATTTATAAAATAGTAGAATTGCTAATCAGGAGTCAGTAATGGAACTCTATCAGCCTCAGGGTCTCACTCTGCTGCCCAGGCTGGAGTGCCGTGGTACAATCACAGCTCACTGTAGGCTCAAACGCCTGGACTGAGGTCATCCTCCAATCTCACTTTCCCGAGGAGCTGGTACTACAGACACACACCCTCAACCTGGCTAGTTTTTACAATTTTTTGTAGACAGCTGGTCTTGGACTCTTGGCCTCAAGTGATCCTCCCACCTCCGCCTCCCAAAGTGCTGGGATTACAGGCTGAGTGCCATGTCGACCCAACAGCACCGGCTGCAGGGGCAGGGGCAGAGCTGCCGGCGTCCCTGCGGGGTCGGCAAGCCCGGGCACCGCCCTCTATGCTCAGCTCCCTCATTAAGCTCAACCCAGGATTTACCAGGCTCCAGAGGACTGTGTTTTGCAAAGTCTTTTGTGTTTAGGACACAGTGAGGGAGGTCTCAGTATAAAACTGGGGTCCTGATGGCTTCCTCTGGATGTAATGGGACCTCCAGGACCACTCTGCTGGGTCACCCCCAGCAGGACCAAGGACAGAGAGGGTAGCAATGGCAGCAGCGCCTGGGAAAGGGCCTTGGACAGGCCCTGTGCCCGGAAGGGTGGGAAAGGCGGCAGGACCCACGGTGGGAACGAGTCTCTCTCTCCACCCCTTTATGGGTCCTATCACCAATAAAACCAAGAGCTGCTCGGGTACTTCAAAACAGTTCTGAGCAAGGACTGAGAACATCTTACACGAGATTTTGGGTCCCATAAGAAGGAAAAGCATGCTGGAAGAGAACATATATCCAGAATTCTCCCCTTTCCTCCAAAAATAAGGTCCTTCAATTAAATAACATTTATCACATTGGTGCTGTTACTTATAAAAGCAAATCACCAACGATCACAATTAGAAAAGGTAAAAACAGATTCTGGCACATCGACCCACACCAAAACATGTGTGCGGCACCTGGACTTTAGCAGAAAAATGCACACGCAGGCAGGAGGGCACACGTGTGCACATACTACACACACCTCCACACACACAGGTCCACACACACAATGTATACACACATGTATACACCCATACACAGGTCCACACACACGTATACACACATGTCCACACACAGGTCCATACACACACATGCACACATACTACACACCTCCACACACACAGGTCCACACACATGTATACACATATGTCCACACACAGGTCCATACACATGCATGCACACATACTACACACCTCCACACACACAGGTCCACACACACACACGTATACACACATGTCCTCACAGGTCCATACACATTCATGCGGACACATACACACAGGTACACACACACACAAATCTCTCTGTGAGGCTGACGGATGCTCACAAAGTCCTGTGCTGAGGGCCAGACCAAGACAGAAAAGCAGAATGCTGCCCAAGCCACCGCCATCTAATTCATCCGCCGGCTGCAATGACAGGCTAGCGTGGGAGCCTCTCCTTGCCACAGAGACCTGCGGGAAACTCCAGTCGGTGAAGCCACAGGAGAAAGGACATCTGCTGTCCCACCTGTGACAGGTACCAGCCCCCAGAGGGAAAGGCTCACGGCTGCGATACCACCAGGGAGCCCCGGCGGCAGCTCCTGGAACCCAGCTCAGCCTAGCGGGGACCTGGTTGGCACTCGGGAAAAACGTGTTGAGGGAATGAGGCTCTCTTGAGGCTTTCCTCGGCTGGACGTTCACATGGGTGTCCACCCCACACCGGGGAGCCTCCACCCCACACCGGGGAGCCCCCAACCCCATACCAGGGAGCCACCCCACCTGTGCCCAGCCTCAGGTTACCTGGAGCTTCCGGGCCATGGCCACCACCTCATGGTCTGGGGGATTGTATTTGTAGCAATTGGAGAACATGAGCCGGACGTCGGCAGCAAAACCCTGTGCGTCTGGGTACTCCCGGCCATCCATCTTCCTCTACAACACACAGTGACAGGCCCAGTGAGCGTGGCCCGTGGCTTCAGGACTCTCTGCCACACCCCATGAGATGAACTCCGGAGCCTCAGGGGCCACTGCCAGCTCAAGGGTGGTGCCTACTGGACTGGCAGGCAGCACACCCCAGCTCTCCGGGACCTCGTAGGGGGAAGCTCAAAGTGAGGACGTGAGAGGGTGACTCAACGGCTTGGCAGGGAGGGCCTGGGACTCCATAGACACTCCAGACACACAGCCCCCACCTGGAAGAGAAAGGTGCTCAACAAGAAATCTCGGGTTCCCGCAACTGTCCCTTAGCCCCTTCCTTGTCCAGTGAATCCTCACACACTGATGCGCCATCAGCAGCCCTGGGGGGTGTGGGGCTGCAGTGAAGTCGGATTCCACCAAGAACACGGAGCCTGCTCAGTCTATGCAAGGAAACGTCAGTGCTTCCCTCAAGGAAGCCAGTAGCTGTTAGCCAGCTCGAGTCTTACAGAAGCACCCCCATATCCCAGGGGCCCAGCCGGACCTAAGGGATTCCATGCTGTGTCCAGCAGCAGCTCCTGAACCCCACAGGTGTGGAGGCAGCTGGGGTGTGTGGGCTGACACCCACCTATGTTTACTAGGCCACACAGAGACCCCGCAGGAAAAGCCACCGCAGGTCCGACCTGGCTTTGGCAAGCAGAGAACTGAGGCCAAGGTCTGGGCAGGAAGTGCCAGGCAGCAGGGGTGAGGAGGGGCACAGCCCCCCAGAGCTGGGGGGTAGGCGGTAAGCACCCACGACGGGACAGAGGCAGAACTGTCAAGGGACGCTTCAAGATGGCCGCTGGGAACACACCAGTTGGGGGAAAAAGAGGTCACGCTGTGCCGGAGGGAGTGAGTTTCCCATCCCGGGATGGCTCAAGGAGAGGGACCTGGTTGGGGACCTCAAAGGAGGACATGCGCAGGGCAGGGCGGATCTAACCTGACCACTCCGTGGGGTCTAGGTGCCAGTGAGATGGAGGGGGTGGGCACTAACCCACAGAGGGTGATCCCCAACTCAGGGTCCATAGCCTCTGCACTCGACATGAGCCCCTCCAGAAGGAAGGGCTAGCAGAAAAACCCAGGGCCACAGTGGGACCTGAAAGCCTCTGATACTGGGAAGAAAGCTTGTTTTCCATTTTAGCATGTGCTGGGACAAACCATGCCCAGAAGCTTCATCTTTAAAGTCTACAGGTCCCAAGGCCTCTCCCTGGTCCGCTGACTGCCCTTTCCCCGCAGCATCCGGGCCAGACTTGTGGGGAGCAAGTGCTGCCGCCACACCTGGCTTCCCCCCAAGCCAGGACAGGGGGGAGCTCCCAACAGAACAGATCAGGACTTTAAAGCAAACTCATGTTCTAGAGCTTCTTTATTATGCTTTCAAGGGCAAATCAGACCCTTTGACCAAAACGGAATTAAGCTGAGCTTGAGTCCAGCCTAAAGTGGAACCCCCAGTGATGTTCCGAAATTCCTGTTACTGTGCTGCGGTGGAGACACACAAACCCCGGCCCTAGAGGCTGGAGCCGAGGCTCGTGGCAGCTTCTAGGCTGCACTGCTCCAGCCCTCAGCTTCCCCACCCACAACGGCGGAGCCAGGCGGCTCCCGCTCATGGCTTTCACCTGAATGTGCACCGGGAACTGGGGCCTGGGCCAGCCAGGTCTGTCCTGCCCTGGAATCCAGCAACCAGGGGAGAAGAAGGCTTTTACCAGGAGCAACTGCCTCAGGTGGGCAGACTGACTGCAACTAGCTTTTGCAGGCCCAGACCCCGGGAAAAAACAAACAGCTGCCCACCAGGGCTCCCAGCCGCTCGTCCCAGAGCCACACAGCTGGCAAAGGTGGTGGCCACCCCTCTCTCAGCTGCCTGCACATCCCTGGGAGCTGGCTTGGAGCTCTCCCAGAGAGAGGGCAGGTGCCAGCCGAGAGCTTGGAAAGGTGCTCAGGGAAGACCCGGTGGAGCTCACCCTGCCCTGGGGCTGCCCCCTCCCCAGCACATTCTCCAACACGTTACCACCCCGCTTCTCCCCGTACAACCCTCCAACCCCCAGGACCAGACTCACTCTGACCTGCTATGAGGTACACAAGAGCCCAGGAAGAGGCTGTGGTTTCAAAAAGACTGGCACGGGGGAGGCCAGGTTCTGTCTCAGCTCTGCCGCCCGCCCAGGCCCAGCTTCTGTCTGTGGAGGGGGTGGGGCTCAGAGGCACGTCGGGGGCAGAAGGCATGCCATCCCTGCCGGCTGCCTCATTCTTGCCTGCTGTGAGGCACCTGTCTCCAGGGCTTCAGGGAAGCAAGCGCAGCTTTAAAACTTGTGCCAAGCCCAAGAGTGGCCCAGCTCGAGGGCCTGATGATACAGAACGGGGCATGGGAAGGAAATAAACAAAATCACCGAAAGGCTTCAACGGGAATAAACAACAGAGCTGCAGACTCTGGGACCGCAGGCAGGGCTAGCCTGCCTCACTGAGCCCTGCCAGCCACAGCTGGGGCCGCAGGGGCCAGGCTGGAGGAGGCGCCTGTCCGGCAGGTGAGACCTTGCTCCCTGAGAGCCCCCAATCAGCTGGCACAAGACATCAGCCCCCACGGCAGAGCCGCAGCACGTGGACAGAGCGGGGCGCGACACGCAGCCACGTACTTTCACGGTGCTGAGGTCCATGGGGTGCTTGATGATGTCGTGGTAGTCATGCAGCTCCAGGGCCTCGGCGTCCACCGGCTTGTAGAAGGGCCAGGCGTAGGCCGCGTGCTTCTTGGACAGCATCTCCCTGAGGATGCTGTCGCAGTAACGCAGGTGCTCGGACAGCTTGCCCTTCTTGCCGGCGTGCTGCGGCACCTCGCCGTCCTCCAGGTCCTTCTTGGGAGGCTTAATGGGGCGGCCCCCGCTCTCCCGCCGCGCCACCACTTTGGCCTGCTTGGGGTCCGACAATGGCGGGGGTGACTCGCTCCGGCTGGCAGTGATGGCAGATGTTGTGGGAGTGGTGGTGTCCGCTTTCCGCTTCACGCCCTTTTTCTGCAACAGTGAAATAACCACTGAGCACCGGACACCAGGCTGCGGTCCCAAAGACCCACGTCGCAGCAGCCACCGTTCTAGGGCGCTGTCTGCCTGCCTGGCGCTGGGCTAAGCGGCCACATGCACGGCTCCACAGGAGAGGACACCAAGGCTCAGGGGCCATGTCACTGGCCCAAGGTCACACAGCTGGCAGTGGTGAGGCTGGGACTCCCCCTCAGGCTCAACTCTGAAACCTGCCCTCACCTGGGCGTGGGGAGACACCTCTCTCCCTTAGCCCCAAGGGCTCAGGGGTCCAGGGTGGGCTCACACCTCACACCCCCAAGCCGTGTGAGGTGCTGCATGCAATCTGCCAGACGCCTAACAAGCACCCAGGCTGGGACACGGGGACCCTAGGGCTGCAGAGACCTGGGAGGAACTCCACCCAGGTTGGGACCCGGGGACCCTGGGGCTGCAGAGACCTGGGAGGAACTCCCTGCTTTTAGAGACCAGCAGAAACGTTCCAGACAAAGGCCTGAGAGCGGGACTCCACGGACAAACACAAGTTTTGCGGGACAATGGGGAGGCAGGAGAGCATTGAGGACACGGGGCAGGGGCAGCCGGCCAGGAGGCAGGAAGCAGCCACAGCAGCTTTGGGAACAAGGGACTTCAGGGAGTGAGTGGGTGAGTCTGGACTCTATCCCAGCAGCAACGGGGAGCCACCAAAGGCTATTTCAAGCAAGGGGAGGAGGGAGACAACCCACAGAGCCTGCCATGGGTGTGTCCTGAGGGCAGAGCAAGGCACCAGGCGCACTCGCATGTTTCACATCCAGGCCTCCTGGGGGTGTGCAGGTCTCTCTGGGCAGCCTGCAAGGGCCCAGCACTTCAGTGTGCCGGGGCTAGGGCTTAGTGTGCACCCTGAGACCAGCTCAGCCGGATTCTACTCTTCGCCTGGCAGAAAAGGAGCCAGCGGGAGCCACAGCTCCCAGCCCACGGCACCTGCCGTCTAGAGCGCCACCCACAGCCACTGCCCAGCCAAGCTGCCGCCCTCAGACTGGCAGGGGCCTGAGCTGGCTATCCACAAACACCTGACAGGCACCCACGGGCTGCCAAGCGCCAGGCGCGTGCCGTGAAGGGCGGATAGGAACAGGAACGGACTCATCTGGCCATGGCAAATGGGACAAGCTCCAGAAACAGCCTCGCTGGGGGAGGTGGCTTGGCCGGGGGCCACCCGTAAGTGCAGGCAGTGAAGGCCATGGGGAGGGGAAGCAACGGAGGTGGCGTTTTACCTTGGGCGAGCCATTTAACCCCTCTGAGCGCCCGCTTCCTCATCTGTAAGATGGGGGAAATATTGTCTGCCCCAGAGGGTCGCTGTGAGGATCAAATCGAAGAAGACAACACACATGAGTGCCTGGCACAGGCCCTGCCCAAAGCAGGACTCACCAGGCCTCGCCAGCCCCAGACCGTGCAGGGAGCACCCACTCCCTGCTGAGACTGCCAGGGCCCGCTGTGAAAAGCTCCCAGCCAATGGGGAGCGGGACAGGCAGGTCCTCACGGTCCCACGTGGAGCCCACAGGCGGACAACACACCCAGGTGGGTACAGCTGGCACCACTCCCCTGGGTGTGAGCAGGGGAAGATGGGGACCCCTCCCACCCTCGATTCTCTTCCACACCTTCCCCACCTTGACCGAGCCCTTGACCGGGGCTTCTGGCCAGAGAAGCTGGGGTTCAGGTTCAGCCAGGCCCTCCCTTACCAGCTGTGTGACCTTCAGCTCCCCAAGCCTCGGTCTCCTCATCTGCGTCAGGAACAACGGCCTGACCTCCCAGGGTGCAGAGAGAACCACTCCCGACAGCCGGCACTCAGGGATAAGTGGGAGCTCCCCACCCGCTGCTCCTGCCCCAACCCCAGGAACCCTGGCTGGGCTCAGACGCCCCAGCCGACCAGCCTCAGGGTGCTCACCTTGACAACGGGCGGTGTAGGAGGAACCACGGGGACGATGGGTGTGGCAGGAGGAGGTGGGGCGACAGCTGGGGGGACTGGGACCGACGGGATGTTTGCGGTGATGGTTGGTACAGGGGTGGCAGCGATGACGGGCGTCTGGGAGACAGCGGGGGGTACGCTCTGAAAGGGGGTCGCTGGGGAGACAGAGGACACGGCCGCCACCTGCTGCGTACCTTCAAGACAAGAAGGGGACGTTCAGCATCGCAGGCTCTACTAGTATTTCCAGAAGCTTCCAGTGCCACCCCTCCAGTCAGAACATGGGGTCAGTTCTGTGCTGCCAAGACCCCCAGCCAGAAGAGCCCTCCACCCTGAGATGCCCCCAACCCTGCATCTTGGGGGCAGGCCTGGCCTGGCTCATCTTGGCTGAGGGCTCCCCGCATGAAGGGGAGGGCCCCCTGCCATAGACCACAGGAGGCTGAACGAGGCCAGGGCAGTACCACGCCTGCAGTTAATAGCCAGCCCTGGAGTAATGGAAAGCTGGTACTGAACTCGGCTCCCTCAACAAGAAGTTGAGTGACCAAGGAACCGGCCGTACTTCGGCCACAGCTTCTCCCATCTGCAACACGGGACAGCCCACGGCACTGGCCATCCCGCCTGGTCAGCCTCTCCCTCCAGACACACCTGCATGCTGGGTTCCCAGGCCAGGTAGGACCCCAGGGCTCGTGACACTAATCACCACTGTGCTCCTGGACAGGGAGACTCAGTCTTACTTGGCCAAGGAGCCAGGCAGGTGACAGTGACTCTTGGGTCACAGATAATAAAATGGGTGCTGAAGAGAGAAAGCCCTAGGAGGGCACAGGCCCCAGGCTTCATGGAGTAAGTGACTTCAGGGATGGCGGGAAGGGGAGCCGGATTTGGGAGGCAGAGAGCAGGGACAGGTGATCCTCCTAGACCGTGAGCTCCTCCCCAGCGTGGGCTCAAAGGCAGCCAGTTACGGCGGTAAGGTCTTCTGTGTCCCTGGGCCAGCTGCCCCTCCAAACATCACCCACAGGCCACACTCGGCCAACAACCAGTGCCCACAAGCTCTTCATAGATGAGGAAACAGCCGGCGTCCCCCCAGCCACCCGGGGGCCTCTGCACAGAAGCCCAGCCCCCCACCAGCCCTACCTCCCTTTACCTGTGCTCTGGGCTCCCGCAGCTGGCTTCCGGCCTTTGCCCTTTGGAACAGGGGGTAGTAATTCAACTTCCTCTTGGGGCATCTGGGCCACTTTTTGCAGAAAAATTTTCTCTAAGGCTTGGGCCATTAGCACTATATCGTCTGTGGGCTGAAGACACAGAGAGAACCTAAGTCACGTGTCAGGAAAGCAGCTGTGCGTTTGCAAAGGACATTATTAGTTGTAGCTCAAAATCATCTAAAATCTGTTAACAGATTTGGCAGCACAGGAGAGGACAAAATGAATATATATATATATTTGTTTTTTTTTTTTTTAAGATGGAGTCTTGCTGTGTTGCCCAGGCTGGAGTGCACTGGCACGATCTCGGCTCACTGCAACCTCCGCCTCCTGGGTTTAACTGACTCTTGCCTCAGCCTCCCAAGTAGCTGGGATTACAGGTGCCTGCCACCATGACCGGCTAATTTTTTTTTGTATTTTTAATAGAGACATGGTTTCACCATGTTGGTCAGGCTGGTCTTAAACTCCTGAGCTGAAGTGATCCACCCGCCTCGGCCTCCCTAAGTGTTGGGATTACAGGCGTGAGCCATGGCGCCCGGCCAGGTGATATGCTTTGGGCCTGCCCAAGAACTGCTCCAAAGCGCATAGGCCCGCCTGGCAGCGGCCAAGAACGGCTGGGGGATCTGCCCCACACGGCACCCGAATCCTTACTGTAAGCAGCGTTCTAGACCCGCATCTTCTTACCTTGTTATAAATGTAACAATTTGTAAACATGGTGTTGAAGTCCTGCATACATTCACTTGCACTCCAATAATAATTATTTTCTAGTCTCTTCTTAATAGTCCCCATATCCATTGGATTTTTTATTATTTTATGATAATCCTAGGAAAAAGATTTTCAGAGGCATTACCAACAGATTCTACATAATTTTTTCCACAATTCCCAAGTGGACACAGCCTGGTCTTCCCAAGTGAACTGAGGGTCTGGGGCTGGCCCGAGGCACGTTCTGGTCGTTGGAAGGTAGTGGGCCATGGTGGGGTGAGCACTTGGCCAGCTCCAAACTCCTGCCCAGCCTCTCATGGACCACAAGCCTGTGCAGAGGGAAGCCCACGGAGCGAGGGCAGACCCCAGGAGGGGCCTACATACCGGAGATGAGGCCAAACCCTCCAGGGTCTAAACCAGCAGGTGACCAGGGCCTAGCAGAGCCCAGAACCCAGGCCACCAAGCGCCAGCCCAGGGCTTCCTCTGCAAGGCTCAGGGTGTGTCTATTTGGGCCTGGGTCAAAAATGAGCACACAGCTGAGGGCGCCACCGCCTGGAAAGCAGGCCTTAACATACACTTGGCCTCTGACTCCAGGTGGGCTCGCCAAGCTGGCAGACAGGCCATCCTGCAGGAGCCAGTGAGGCAGACAGCGGCCCCGGTGAGCCTCCACTCCTGAGTCTCATCACTGTCCACCCGCTTTCCTCCCCAGACGCCTATGGCTTCTCCCTATCTCCTGCACCTGGGGCAGCCATCCTCCTCTCCCATGCCCACGTGCGCCTTTGTGCTATGGGCTTCCTGAGGCACAAGCTGTCCCCAGCTTAGCAGCTAGGGACAGAGGAGCAGTCTTTCCAAGAGCCGGGCAGCAGAAGGGGGCAGAGGACGGTGGCGGCAGAGCGCAGTTCTTGGGGAGGTGGCAGCCACGCACCGGCAGGTTCAGTTTGATTGCATCCACGGGCTGGTAGAAGGGCCAGGCAAACTGGTGTTTCCAGAGCGTCTTCACCACCACGTTCTGCATGTACTGCAGCTGGTTGGTCTTGCGGCCAGGCTTGCTGGGGTTGGAGACCTCCGGGGGCGGCGGGTTCACAGGGCCCGGGGCCGCCGGGATCCCCGCGGGGGTGACTGTCGTGGTGGTGGACATCCTCCAGCAGCTCACTCACTTTCTGTCACAGCAGCGGCTGGGAGAGGCCCTGGCTGCTTCTATGCTCCCTGAAGAGGCGAGACGTCCCATTTCCAGGCTCAACCAGGCGACGGCTACAGGGGAGGAGGCACAACAGAGAGACAGGCAGTCACCCCAAACCCCTACCTCTCCCAGCCTTGGCAGCCTCCCGAGGGTACCGTTGGGCCCCAACAGAGCCTGCTCCACTCACTTACCCACCTCGCCCACCCACCCAGACGAGCAGCTGTCGGGAAGCTGCTCAGGCTGAACGGCTCTCCAACCACTGCTCTCAGACCTGGGGGCAAGGCGTGGGTGGTGCCGTGAGCTCAGGCACTAGCCTCCTGCTCCCAGGTGGGGGCTTGGAGCACGCACTGGGACGCAGGTGCCGGCAGCCTTGTGCCCACCAACCACCCACTTGTGGGGGCTCACTGGCAGTCACTGGACTCTAACGGCTTGGCCTCAACAACGTTCTGAAGAGCGTGGACAGCCACAGTGTGGGCCCAGAACAGCCAGCGCAAGTGCGGCCGGCGTAACACAGACGTTTGCAGACCCACACGTGGTGTGGGGAGGTGGCACCCTTGGGTGAGGCCGAGCAGGGAGGTTCTACCGTAACCAGGAGAATGAGCCCAGTGTGTGATGCCTGTGACCCGGCCTGGCTCTCAGCCAATCAGAGAAGCAGGAGTGGCGGCTCGGACCCTGCCGACCTCCACACCCCAGTTTTCCAGGGGAAGCCCTGCACACGTGAGCTGCTGGGCTTCCCTGGCCCCGACCTGCTGGCCACATTCAGGGATGGCAGGAGGAGGCCACCGCTGCCCTGCGTGTCCCAGGAGGGCAGGGACAGTTGAGAGCGCCCACAGGAACACTGTGCACTAGAGAGTGCCTGCAGGACTCCAACCACAGCCAGGGCCCTGCAGATGGCCCCGTGCCTCCCTGTAACGGTGTGGGGCAAGAGGAGCTCTAATCCTGCACCTGGGATTTCCAACTTCAGCCTCGTCCCTTGCTGCCATTTAGGCCTTTCCCAAACTTGTACAACTGACAATTAGACAGGTCAGGGCTGGAGGCTGCCCTCGGGGCACAGGCAGCAGCTCTGCTATGGGAGGAGCCAGCTCTGGCCCCAAGAACCAGCCACTTGTGGACGCTCGGGGCAGACAGTCAAGACTAGGGGAAGTTTGTGAGCTGGCTGACATCTGGCTGGTCCCCTGAAATCTGCCATGGTGGGCACAGTTACATCACAACAATGTAGGCAAATACTATGAACCAGGGCCCACTCTCAAGCTGGCTGTTCAATGTTGTCAGCACCCTGAGTGACAACCTCACTTCTTCCCCCCTACCTGAGTGGAAGGGGCTTCAAGGCTACACACGACACAGCTCACCCAAGCCTGCACCAGCAAACACACCTCAACCCCACGGGCTCCCACCCGTGCCAAGATCTCAGGGAAGCCCTCACACCACCCTCTTCCAATCCTCCAGAGGTGAGCGGGTGCCTCCACACCCCTCCATATTGCTGACCCGGCACTCATAGCCCCAGGCTAGAACACTGGTTGGGAGGGCAGCTCTGCTGGCTTCCATGGCTTCACTCCGGACAGACAGCCGCTGTGCCGGGCACAAACCTGGGGTCACCCCAAATGCCTCTCTTCCCATTGCCCCAGGCCAGCACATGGTGGCACTGCCCCTCACCACCACCACTTGCTCTGATTTCCAAGAAGCCCTCCCAGTGGCACTCTCTGCTCTGCCCCGCAAGGACAGCCCAGCCCCGAACCACAGGGTGATCTGTTAAAACCAAGTTGGATCGAGTCACTGGTCCGCTCAAAAACTCCCAGGGTCTCCATGTGACTCAGTAAAAGTGAGTCCTGCCCCACCCTGACTGGTGGGGCCAGGGTGATCCAAGGTGACTGGGTCCTGAGACCTGTGTCCTTTTCCTGTGACTTGTGGCCCTCCCTCAAGGCCTGGACAGTAGCAGGCTCCTGCCCTTCCGAGGCCTCCAGGTACCTCCCAGAACACCCTTCCTGCTGGGCAGCACAGATGCTGGGGCCAGCCACACCACGTGGTCCTTCCATTTCCCCACGAGGCCCCCGAGGTTGGAGGAGTCAGACACAGAAAGTGCTTACGTCAGTGACCGACACCAAGCACCATACGCAGCTCCGATGAAACTGCCAGGACCAGCACCCTGATGGAAGGCCCAGGCTGTGCTGCTGCTGCCTCCCAGGGCCTGGATGCCGGCTCCCAGGTGTTGGTCAGGTGGGGAAATTTCCAGTACCCACTGCTGCCACATAGGCCCAGGGAGCCAGGAAGCGAGGCTGAAACTGACTTTTGGGGGTAGGGTGGTAGTCATAGCACAAAGGAGGGCTCCCAAGCTGCAGGCCAGCTTCCTCCAGCATGAGGACGGATGAGCACAGCTCAACGTGGGGACCTGCTTACACTGCCATCAGGACCCAACAGCTGCCGGATCAGGTCCTCTAAGCCACCCACTTCCAACCACCCGCCTGCTGTTCCAAACCCGAGGCTGAGGAGGCTGGGTGGGGAGGGCAGCCCAGCCCAGCTGTGGACTGTGAGCCTGAGCAAGGCAGAGGGAGGAGCGCCCTGGGCTGGCACCCACCCACCAGCCACGGCAGAGCCTCCCGAGGCCCAGCCCTGGTGCCCTCTTGGCGCTGCCAGGGAAATCATGGTCAATGAGGTTAAAGCTCTGGAGCTATGCCCGGTGCCAGCGTGCGCTCACTGAATGCCAGTGCTCACTACAGGCCCTAAGGGTGCAGCTCACCTCCAGCTCCGCTACCTGGCAGAAACACCCTGACCCCAACAAGACCTGGAAGGCTGAGGGGTGCAGTGCATAAAGCCCCGGGGACACACTGACAGGCGACTGCCCCCAACCCCAGTGGCGAGGCATGGTGACCCCACCTCTCCTCTCCGGGAACATAACTCCTGCCCTCTGAGACACCTACACCCCACACACTCAAGATTTTTGCAAAAACTTAAGGACAACATGCAGCCATAGTAAGCAGCCCTGCCTCCCCCAGAATCCCTCGGCCCAGAAGCAGAGCCCCCAGGCAGCCTGGCACCGACCAGTGAGAAGGGTGGGGAAGGAGGGCAGCCAGAGGGCAAAAGGCTGATGTCCCCTTCAAGCCCCCTCTTCTACTAGGTGCCAGGACCCACCAACCGGCAAGAGCCACGCCAGGCAGGAAGAGACCAGGAGGCCACAGTCAGGTGAGTCTTGGGGGGGGGTTGGCCCCTCCCTTGTGGGAGAGTGGGCTGGCTCCCAGAGTCTCCGGAGAGGGAGGGCTGAGAGGGGATGGGTGCTGTCAGCCTGCACTCCCGAAACCTCAGGTCCCGTCCACAGAGGCCTTCCCTCCAAGTGCAGTGGGTAGACAGGCGAGAGCCACAGCCAGGGTCTAGCTCTGCCACCCTCAGTCTCTCGCTGTCCAGACAGAGAAGCTGAAGAGACCAGCCAGCATTTGTGTGAGGGAGCCTCAACAGATGCTGGAAAGAACCAGGGGACCTGTGGAACACCCTGAAAGACCTCTCTGAGGGCAGCAGAAACGAGATGAGGCAAACAACGCCCCAACCAGAGCCGAGGAGCCTTCCACTCTGTGCAGGGAGCTTGAGGCCACATCCCGAGATAAGGAAGGCAACTGAGGCTTCCACAAAGAAATTACAGTGAAACAGACACCGGCCAGGTGAGCTGGAAATCGGTGATGGACTACAATCCAAATCGACATGGAGGTTCCAACAAAAGAAGAGACGTGGTAGGAAGGACGTGGTGGGGTGGCCCTACCCCAGACCCCGAGTGCCCCAGAGGGCGCACCAGCAGGACAGTCACCCCACTGCAAAGTATGGTGCTTTCACACCACACTCACCCCACCTCCGCCCTCTGGCCCAGACGCAGACAGTGGAGAAAAACACCAATAAAAACACAGGTGGTCAGCCACGGCCCTTCAGATCACAGATGCCGGCCAGGGCCACGGGGCCCTTCAGATCACAGATGCCGGCCAGGGCCACAAGCCCTTCAGATCACAGATGCCGGCCAGGGCCACGAGCCCTTCCGCTCACAGATGCCAGCCAGGGCCACGAGCCCTTCAGATCACAGATGCCGGCCAGGGCTACGAGCCCTTCCGCTCACAGATGCCAGCCAGGGCCACGAGCCCTTCAGATCACAGATGCCAGCCAGGGCCACGAGCCCTTCAGCTCACGATGCCGGCCAGGGCCACAAGCCCTTCAGCTCACAGATGCCGGACGGGGCCACAAGCCCTTGAGCTCATGGATGTCAGCCAGGGCCGCGAGCCCTTCAGATCACAGATGCCAAGACCCCCGCAATCTCCATGACAAACCTGCGAGGTCAGAATGACTGCATACACGTACAGACGACCAAGCTGAGGCCCCTTCCTCCTTTACCTCCAGAGCACCACCTGAGCACAGAGGTTTTGGGACACAAAACACCCAGCAGTGGGCAGTGGGGGCACGGCCTAGAATCAGGATCCTGGGCTTCCTGTCCCAGGCTCCTGAACCTGCAGGCAGCCAGCCACACGGCAAGAGGAGTATGGGCAGTTAAAGAATGAGGCAGTCCTGCTTCCCCCACCCCCAATGACCAGCAAGGACACAAAGGCAGCCCAGGATGGGGCCAGCTGCCAGCCACAAGGCCCCTCCAGAATTCAAGGTCCAATGGAGATGCCGAGAGGGCTGATTGCGTGTGTGCTCCCACGGGGTCCACACACCAGACACAGAGGCCCCGAGGAAAGGCAGCAAGGGGCCCCCATGGGGTCCACACACCAGGATTTGCAGCCTGGCTCCCCACCCCCATCTGACCTCGCTGTGAAGTTAATAGATAGTCTGTGCTGAAGCTCAGCAAGTCCGTCATCTACTGCGTGCTTCCCACCAGAGCCCACGGACCGGCAGGACAGTCTACACCCCACGGGCCACAGCTTCACTCATGCAAGGACATCCTGGGGGCTAGGACGTCCTAGCCAGGGGCTAGAACTGGGTGTGACCATAGGCCCCCATGGCTGGGGATAAAAGGAGGGGCCCTAGATCCCAAGTTGCCTGGGGCCTTGGCAAAGGGAAGAGGACCTTGCTCCAGGGTGCCACGTGGAGGAACTGATGTAACACTGGGACTATGGCTGGCAGCGTTGGACATTCAGAAACACGCCTGCCCAAAACAAACATGGCTCTCACTTCTCCCAGCTCCCAGAAACGAAGTAAACAGAAGATTAGTGCCTGGCCGCCAAGGACCAGCCCCTCACTGTCACATCCCTGTCCCCTGGGGCCAAAGCCTGACCACTCCACATCACCTGCCTCACTCCTGTAATGACAGTCAACTTTCCGGATTTTAGAAATCCAAACCAGCCAGTGGAGCCTTTCGTGGGGGGCTGGGATGTCTCTCCTACACACACCCCTACCCCAGGGTCTGAGATGACATCCCTAATCAAACCCAGCTTTCTACAGATACACAAAGGCTCAAACTACGGACAGCTTTGTATTACCTGTAAAGGGTCCAGATTTTGTGGCAAAAGAAAACAGCCGGTAAGGTGGCCAGCAAGGGCTCCATTTTATAGTGCAGGAAGGGGTGGCCTGGGCCCCATGGCTGGTGTACGCAGTGGCACTGGATTTGAAGCAAAGCTGGGCACTGGAGGCCGTGCCTTGGGCCGGTTCGCTGGCACACCTGCTGGAGGAGCGGAGGGCGCTGATTCAACACTGATTTTCTGGAACCAGAGTTAACACTGGGAGTGTGGTGGCATTGCGGTTACAACCTTTCGGAAGTCCTCATCTTTCTGATATTTGGACTGGAAGTTCTACGAATGAAACGTGCCTGGAGTTTGCTTCATGATAATGTGGGGAGTGAAAATAAGTAGGGCCTGGAAGAAATGGGCCAGCCCAGAGCGGCCCCACCTGTGGCAGAGGGAAGTGGCAAAGGGAAGAGGGCACGCCTCCCTTCTCCCCGAGCCCCAAAACCGCACTCCTCATCACACGTTCTGCAGCCTGCGTCCTCACAGCAACTGTGAGGTCCAGGGTTCTGCAGTGTACCCACACTCCACCTTCACGGGGCGGGGAAGAAGCCAAGGGGACTCCTGTGAGCAACTGGGGCAGATGGACTCAGGTGGAGTGACTCGGGCTGGAGGAAAGCAGCAGGGCCAGAGACCCCAGTGCCTTCAAGTCTAGACATCAGACACACAGAACCTTCATACTGCAACCACTCCTTCACCCCGGCACCTGCCCTGCAGGAATGTGCAGCGGAACAGGGTGTGGTCTCCCGGGGGTAAACCCTTGCTCCTTTCCTAGGGGAGCAGAGGGCCCCACTCCAGGGCTCACAGGGACACTGGACACTGGCAGGGCTGGAAGCCAGTCTGCTAGAATGTGAACCTAAAGGGCCCGGGAGCACGTTCAGTGCAGTAAGAACTAATTTCACCACTCAGCCCTCCTGTGGTGAAGGGGCTGCCACACAGCCTGCTAACAGCTGCTTTGCGCCAGGGGAGCTCTGCTGTGTGGACAAGGTCCCATCGGGAAGGCAGCCGGCCACCAGCTTCCTGTCGCAGCAGCAGCCTCACCCTCAGCAAAGGCACTCCACCCCTGGGACCATGGCAGGGAAGCTGTGGGTCCTTTGGGGACAGGTCCCTTGGAGACAGGCCCAGGGAGCCAGATGTACCACTCCTGCTCTGCCCTGAGCAATGCAGGACAGGCATGGAGTTCTGTCTCCCAGAGGAGGAGGCAGAGGCTGAGACCCTCCCTGGGGCCCACCTCCCCAGGGCCTACCTCCCCCAGTCTCCCTCTCAGCTGCTCACAAAGCCCATGCTGTGGCACCCACAGGCATTGCCTGCCGGCCCAGCAGACACAAAGGCAGAGGCCACCCTTGCCAGCCGGGTGAAAGTCAGAGTGAGCAGGCAGCCTACCTTAAACATAAGAGGATCCGAAACTGCCCAGAGAGGAAACTCAGGCAAACCACAAAAGTCCTCGAACACCAAGCAAAAACCCAGTGATGAGTGGGTCTGATGAGATCCTCAAGAAGGATTCATGCCACTTGCAGTGGCTCAGGCCTGTGACCCCAGCACCTTGGGAGGGGCAGGAGGATCCCCTGAAGCCAGGAGTTCAAGATCAGCCTGGGCAACATAGTAAGACCCTGATTCTATGAAAATTTTTAAAAATAAGCCAGGCCTTCGCACTGCTACACTCCAGCTTGGACATCATGGGGAGACCCTGTCACCAAAAAAAAAAAAAAGATCTGGAATGCTGCAGAGATTTCCAAGGCAACCAGCAGGGAGGGCAGTGGCCAGGCTCCCCCAACACTGACTAGTCCCTCCCTGGGTCCCCCTCATGCCCCATCCAGGAGGGGCTCTGTGCTGGACATGGAAGAGACGTTGGCGAGGTGGCCTGGATCCCACCTATCTTCACCCTTGCCATGTGGCCCTGGGCAGGCCCTCCCCACCTCCATCCCAGAAGCTGTGGGTGGTCCCCCCAACCCTTCCCAAGGTCCCTGGACTCTGCCTTCCTCTCCATAGAGAGCAGGAGGACCTGCATAAAAAGCAGAAACTCAGCCCCCTTCAGGCTGGCCCAGCTCAGAGTTCACCAGAAAAGATGCCAAGTCCACAGCCGTTTCAGGGCTGTGGACAAACAGGGAGGGAATGGGGACCTGTCTAGTTGCCACCAAAGAAAACACCCAGAAAAGCTGGCAGCAGCCTCCCTGACCCCTCCTGCTATGTCACGGCCCTCTGGGGAGCAAGGACCTGGAGGGGCAGGAGCAGGCGCACCGCCAGCACAGCAGCCCAGCCTTCAAGCGCTCCACAGAGGGACAGGAGAGGGGGGCTGCTCCCCACGCCACACCCTGGGGGAGGCAGACCAGCCAAGGGGCGGCGACTGGACCATGGGCCATCTCTAGCCTCGCCTGACCCCAGAGCACAGAGCTCTTATTTGGGGTCCAGAGAAAGGGAGTCCCAGCTTTCACCAAACAGGCAGGGTTGGGAGGATGGCTTGCCAAGGCCACCCCAGCTATAGCATGCGTCGGGAGGAGCGGTGGCAGGGACAGGCAGGGCTACACAGCTCTGCAGGGACTCAGCCAGACCTGCCAGCAAAAGGGTGGGAGCCAGGAGCACCGGAACTAGGGGCGGGGTGCTGGAAGAAGCAAGGGAGGCCTTTCCCAGGGGCTTATTCCCAAGGGCTCTCCAGCCTTGGGATTTCCATAGCCCTGGGCCTCTGTACCCCGAGGGTCCCCACGTCTCTGGCTGGGTGGCCCCACTGCTGCACTCCAGCCCGTCTCCTGGAGCTCTGTCCTGCATCAGCAGGGGATCAGATGAGCTTCATCATCCACAGGTGGAGGGGGGCACTCTGAGGTGAGGGGGGCAGAAGATCGCCCAGACAGAAAAGGCCAGAGCTAGCTTGGACAAAGCTGGACATCCGTGCCAGACTCACTGCCGACACCCCATGGCCCCAGAATTCTCAGAATAATGCTGGGGTTGGTGTTGTGATAGGCTGTGGCTGGAGGGAGCTGAGCCCGTGAGAAGGGACCCCAGCCTACCGCCCCCACACCCCCGTCTAACCTGGCCAACCTAGCACCTGTCCCCAGGCCCACATGGTGACCAGCGGCCACCCTCCAAGACTTGGGAAACTGGATCTGTTTGGGCAGGGCGTCTTCAGTGACAGACGGAGCCAACTGCCTCCTTCTATGGAGCCAGGGGAGAAGCCGGGGGTTAGGGGGCCCCTGTAGCCCTCGAGGAGCCCTGGGGAGAGTGGTTGGGCATCGTGGGCCACTGCCCCACCCGAGCAGCCATGGCGCCTACTCTCCAGGGGGCTCTGCCCAGTGCCCTGAGCCCCCATGCACAGCACACCTGCTCTCCAGCAGCTGCCTGGCCGCCTGGTCTGGTGCGGCAGCCCAGCCCCGTCCCCAGGCGCTCCAGCGGAATGGAGAGGCTGTCCTGGGGTCTGGCCCTAGACGCACTGAGTGGGTGCAGCTGTCAGCACTGCCTTTCCCACGACTGTCCCCCACACCCCACAGTTCTCCCCACTCTCCACCCGCCAGTGCCTTCCAGACCTAAGATCTCGTGCGCCTCCTGCTTTCTGAACCAGGCCCTGTGCTTCTTCCAGCCCCATGGCCCTGCAGAGCGGCCTCTCTGGAGGTTTCCTTTCCTGCCATGACACTCCACAGCCTTCTGGCCACACACTGTCACCTCTTCCAAGCTCTGTCCCCACCCACCTCTCTACCCACTCCTCGAATAGAGAGGACTCAGCATGAGTCCATGGCACCCTGGACCCGGAGACTCACACAGCTGCCCCTTGGCACATTTTGACCCTCTCAAGAGGCATGAGGAGGCCCGACCATCCGTACACGCTGGGAATGACGAACCTGGCCCCACAAACACCCATGGGGCCTTTCCAAGCCCAGGCCCCCTGCCTCATAATCAGGGTCTCCCACAGGCCAGGGAAGGGCAGGAGAGCCACGATTCAGGCAGAGGGCTCTCTTCAGAGAGGCAGTAGAGTGAGGGCAGTACCTGGCCCTGGAGAAGGAAGGGGACACCGTGCTCAGAGAGATGTGGCCTCAGGGCCAGGCCCTGGTGCTCCACCGATTCCCACACTAGGGCCACAAAGTTGCGGCAGGCCCATCCAGCATCCATCTGTCTGCTCCATCTTCTCTCACCCAGCCTGACGAGAACCAAACTCGCAAAACACCCTGGCCGCAGGAGTCGGGCCTGGCCTCGCCGCCGTCCCACCCAGCCACAGTGGGCCAGGACGAGGGGCCAGTACAGCTGCACCTCTCAGACCCGTCCCCGTGGGATCATGTGGTTACCTCATCTATGTTCTCTGCCCACCCCACAACCACGATCGCCCAGGACTGCAGGACGCCCCCAGACCTGTTGCTGGGCCAGACCAGAGGCAGAGCTAAGAACACAGAGAGGGCATGCAGCACATCTGCCTGCGAGCCCACAGCTCACAGAGCCACTGTGCTTGACCCCTGCCTCCTTACCCAGCCCCTGGCACCAGCAATGGCCCAGTCAGGGTGCCCAGGGCTCTGTCCTGGGGTGTGGGCAGATGGGGGCGGGTGGCACCCTGGTTAGTCTTCACCCGAAGACTAACACAGCTGCCCCTTTGCACATTTTGCCCACTGCGGGACTATGAGGCCAGGGCTCCAGGGATGCATGGCACAGGGAGGGCATCTCCTCAGCCACTTAGATTCTTTTTCCTTCTGCCACATGACAGGTTAGAGCTACAACACTCGACACTCCTGCACAAGCCAAGCACTGGCACAGAGGCATCCCTGCCTCACCCGGAGGCTAACAACGTCCCACCTGCAAGCCCCATAGCTCTCAGGTACAGACTCCAAGCCCTAGGCCCTCAAAGGTGCACTGAGGGCACTCCCTCTGCCCTAGACTCCAGACCTAGCCAGCAGCTGCCTCTGCAGATCACGCCTGAGCCCACCGGGCACTCTGGGAAATGCTGCAGCTGGTTATCAAGCCACACTCAGAATGACCCAACTGGTGACCCCTAACATCACCGCACCCCCAGCGGGACACTGCTCCAAGTGGCTGGAGAAGTCTCCCAAACACCTCATTAACTTCTGACAAACTCAGTACCTTGGGGGCCTGTGGCAAGGAGGGATGTGGGGGCACAATCCCAGGCCCGTCTTTCCAACACAAGGCTCCATAGATCCAGCGAGGAGGCAGCCAGAGAACTGACGCTCAGCAATAGCCACAGGCTGGTCCAAGACGCAGACAGCCAACAGTACCATGGACGCAACAGCACCAGAGCCTCCAGCCATACCTGTCTCCACTGCAAACTCAATCAGGAGTGGCCAGAAGACTTACAATTTAAACCATTAACAGGGGAATGGCTCAAAATGTGGCACTTTCTCTTTAAAAGTGCTCTCGGGCAGGTGAGGTGGCTCACACCTGTCATCCCAGCACTATGAGAGACCGAGACACCTGTCATCCCAGCACTTTGGATCACCTGAGGTCAGAAGTTCAAGACCAGCGTAGCCAACATGGCGGAACCCCGTCTCTACAAAAAAATTACATGGACACAGTGGTGGCCGTTTGTAATCCCAGCTACTTGGGAGGCTAAGACAGGGAGAATTGCTTCATCCCAGGATGTGGAGGTTGCAGTGAGTGGAGATCACACCATTAGACTCCTGGGCAACAGAGGAGACTCTGTCTCACAATAAATAAATAAATTAATTAACTAAAATAAAATAAAAGAGCTCTCAAGCATCTTGGCTGAGCATGGTGGCTCATGCTTGTAATCCCAGCACTTTGGGAGGCCAAGGAGGGCAGATCACTTTAAGGCCATGAGTTCAAGGCCAGTCTTGCCAACATGGCAAAACCACATCTCTACTAAAAATACAAAGATAATAATAATAATTAATTAATTAAAAATAAATAGGGCCGGGTGCGGTGGCTCAAGCCTGTAATCCCAGCACTTTGGGAGGCCTAGGCGGCTGGATCACGAGGTCAAGAGATCAAGACCATCCTGGTCAAAATGGTGAAACCCCGTCTCTACTAAAAATACAAAAAATTAGCTGGGCATGGTGGCACATGCCTGTAATCCCAGCTACTCAGGAGACTGAGGCAGGAGAATTGCCTGAACCCAAGAGGCGGAGGTTGCGGTGAGCCGAGATCACGCCATTGCACTCCAGCCTGGGTAACAAGAGCGAAACTCCGTCTCAATAAATAAATAAATAAATAAATAAAATAAAAAAATAAAAGAGCCCTCAAGCATCCCAGATGGCAGGCGCCCGGGGAACCAGAGCAGGAATGCCTGGGCACAGGGACCCTTGCTTTCACAGAAGGGAGGACAGGCAGAGAAAGCCTCATGCTCCGCCACCAGCTGGGCACCTCTACGAGATGGCAGTGACCAACAAAAACACAGAGGCAAGGCCATTCTTGGCAAACGCCGACCCAAACGCACCTGGCACCCCATCATGCTTTGCCACCTGTACATCTCTTCTGCTCCGACAAGGGGGCAGAGCCACAGGGGTCGGGAAGGCCCCAGGCAGATCCAAAACCTTCCTATGGCAAGCAGCACTGCATTCCGCCATGATTCATGCAGTTACCTTTTAGCTTCAACCAGATATCGGCTTTGTGACGTAAAGGACCTGCCAGCCGGGCATGGTGGCTCACGCCTATAAACCCAGCACATTCAGAGATCACGAGGATAGGAGTTTGAGATCAGCCTAGCCAACACAGTGAAACCCCATCTCTACTAAAAATACAAAAAACACAAAATGCAAAAAATTAGCCAGGTGTGGTGGCAGGTACCTGTAACCCCAGCTACTCAGGAGGCTGAGGCAAGAGAATCTTGAAGCCAAGAGGCGGAGATGGCATTGAACTCAGATTGCCACTGCACTCCAGCCCGGGTGACAGTGCGAGACTCCGTCTCAAGAAAAAAACTAAAAAAATAAAAAAGGAACCTGCCTAAGACACCAAATCCTGACAGGTCAGTTATACCTTGACGACCAGTCAAGGAAGTAAGAAGCAGCAGCTCCTCTGACCAACTGCTTTCACTGCTTTGAAAACCATCAGGACTGCAGGCATGCCCCCCACCTCCCAGGCAGCAACACTGAGTGTGGGGTAGGCCCTGGCTCACCGACCCCCGGCACCCTGTGCATCCACAGCAAAACATGGCTCTTCCCGTCGTCGAGAGCTGGGCCCACCAGCGGCGAGACAGATACAGCACAGCTGTTAGTTTTGTGCTAATCACCCCACTTGGGAAACTCTGAGCCACCAGGCCACAGGAAAGTGGTGGCACTTCCTGGTGGCACCAAGAAGCGGACAAGGCCAACACCACCTGCCTGGTGCACGAGGCTCCCACGACTGGCACCTCCAGAGCCTGGAGGAAGAGAGCAGAGGACAGGGTGACGGCTGGCTGCAGCAGCAGGCCCAGATGCTGCACTTTTCACACCCCCACTTTCACTTTCTGGGTATGACTACACTCTGAGTGTAGGGCAGGGAACCGTGTTTGCAAGTCCTGTCCTTCATTCACAGCTCACTTCTGAACAAGCACGGGCTGTTGTCAAAGGAAAGTAATTACTCTACTTTCTAAAAACAAAACGAAAATAAAAACGGAGCTGACTGCCTACCGGGGGAAAGCTGTTGAAATCCCTCCTCCCCGGATATCCCAGCGGCGGGGCTCAGGCTGGACAGTCTTCCCAGGCACCCGGTGTCCTGCTGAGGCACTGGGCTTCCGAGGTTCAGAAAGAAATGCCCCTCGATCGCCTGCAGACGGTCCAGTCACAGTGTGTGCCTTATCTTTTCCGATCAGTATCCTCCAGCACACATCAAGGCCTCAACAGAGAAAACTGCAAACACAGACCTTTATTTGCAAATGACAGGCTGCATCAGGGCTGCCGAGGAAGGATCAGGAGGGGAGGTCCCTAACCCCTGAGGCCAGCCCCTCGCAGATCTTCAGACCTTCCTGAGACCCTGCTGGAAGCCAGTAACAAACTACTCTCCCCAGAAAAATGCCACACAACTTTGCATAGATTTCAGGATCTCCCCAGGGCCACTTCGTGGACCCAGGGAAGAAAACAAAAAGTCTTCATTTTAAAGGAAAGAGAAAGGGGAAAAGCCTACACAACAGCAGGGTAAAAAGAAAACTTTTTGCTCTTCTGTTCCTGCTCACGGTGGAAGGCGGGGGAGGACGGGACACACGGAGCTTCCTCCTGCAGTTCCAGCCCGTCACTCGGCCCACCACTGAACGACGCCTCCCCTCCCGGTTAACTTTTGGAGACAATGACCAAGTTTAAGGTGAGGGGGGGAGAAACCCCAGCTACGTATTTCTGAGCAGAAAGCTTTCAATCAAAATGAAGGATCGCAACCACTCAAGGATGGGGTCCAACGGAGGAACTCACACGACGGACTCCGGGTCCCTGCCCCCAGTGGGTCTCGGTGGGCCGAGTTCTGGGACGCCCGCCCTCGAGGGAAAGGAGGCCGCGCGAAACCCATATCCCGGCCCTGCCCCCGTACGAGCAACCGGTGGAATGAGACTTCCCGCACGCCCCAGCTTTATTCACAGGGAGCCCACCAGGGCCATGTGGTATACACGGTTCGGGGTGCGCATTTCTCCCCGAATGGGCTTGTATCACGTTGTCACTCCGGCGCCCCCCAACAGTGGGAAGGAGGGAAGCACCCCCGTCCCTCCCGCTCCAACTCGCCCTCGGCCGGATTAAGCGATTTTCAGACTGATTTCAAAACGGGAACGGGTCTCCCCCTCGCATGGCTGCAAAAATCCGGCAACTCTGAGGGGCTCAAAGTCAGCTCTGGGCCCGAAACTCCGGGAGGAGGCCGCGCAGAGCCCAGGCCCGAGCCCGGCCTTGCCCCCCGCCCCGGCCGCGCAGCGCGGCGACCGTCCCCAGGCGCGGGCCTCAGCAACGGCCCGAGAGCGAGGCCGGCGGGGCGGGCGCGGGGAAAGTGGCGCCGCGGAGCGCACGGCCGAGGCCCGGCCCCGCCGCGCGCACCTTCCCCCTCCGCGTCCTCCCTGGATTCCCCCCTTCGAAAGATGGCGGGCGGAGGAAAGGGGGAAAAAAAATCCCTTCCGTGAGGGAGGGCGCGCGGAGGCCGGGCTGGCGCGGGGCGCGCCAACTCCGGGCTGCGCGCCCCGGCCGCAGCGACGCCCCCGAGTCCGGGACGGAGGCGTCCGGGCGGGAGCGGGCGGAGGAGAGCGGAGCCCGCGCCGCCGCCGCCGCCGCCGCCGCCGCGACCCCGGGCGGCCGCCGCGCTTTGTTGCATCGTGGCCGCGCACAAAGGCGGCGGCGGCGGCGGCCCCGGGCGCCCGGTTTCCCCGGACGCCAGCGGCCTGCGCGGGGCGCTCGGGACCGCGCTCCCCGGCCCGGCCCGGCCCGGCCCGCCGCCGCCCGCGCCGCCCGCCGCCCCGCGCGCAAGGAAGCAAGAGAAAGGCGTACTTGGCCTCGCGGCTCCGGCGGCCGTCCCCTCCCGGCCCGCGCGGCCGGCTCCTCTTTGGCTCGCCGGCCCCGGCAGCATAATAGACGCGCCGGAGCCGAGTAGGGCTCATGCGCTGCGCCGCGGCGCCTGGCGGGAGTCGTAGTCCGCGGCCGGGCCCGCGCCGGGGCCGCCCAGGGGAGGCCGCGGCGCGCGGACTACATGTCCCGGCCCCGCCGGCGCCGCGCCCCGCCCCGCGCGTCCCCGCCCGCCCCGCCGACCCGGCCGCGAGCGGGCCCAGCCCGGGGGGCGCGCGGGGGCGGGGCTCGGCGCCCGCCGGGCAGGACGGCGACGCTGGGACCCCGGGCGGCCGCTCCCTGCCCGAGCCCGCGCGGCCCTCCCCACCCCGCGCCGGGGACGGCGCCTGGAGGCAGATTTTCCAGTGCTCCAGGGCGGCGTGAAAGACGCGGGAGCGCAGCCAGCGCGGCGGCCCCCGCCTGGGCACCCCGGGGCCCGCAGGAGCCGCCTTCGAACCCCGGCCGCGCACTGGCGGGGCGGCGCGCACCTGCCGGTAGCCCGTGTTTGTAAACAAACCGCGCGCCTAATTAGCAGGGCGGGAGCGCGCGCGCGGGGGCGGGGGGCGGGGCGTCGGTGCGCGCCTGCAGGTCGGCCCCGCCCGGGGAGGAGCCGCGGTCGGCCGCGCCCTCCTCGTCCCCCACCCCTGACGTGCTGGGGCGCGGGCTCCCAAGTTGGCTGTCGCTGGAGAGGACTCCAAGTCCCCAGAGCTGGCGAAGAGCTAGGGGTGTTCTCGGCTCGGCCTGGGGACCTTCTCGCCCCAAGCCCCAGTTTCCTCATCTTGCCAGTGAGGGGCAGGAACGAGAAATCAGGTTCCCAGCCTGAGATTCCTGGAGAGGGCCACCAAGGTGAGAACAAGGACCCCTGGCCCATTTTCTGTAACTTGAAAGATTCAGCTTGAGGACACGTTTTGCATCTTGTTTTGGGTGATGAAGACTCGGGTTTATACATAAATCAATTTTTTTTTTTTTTTTTTTTTTGAGACGGAGTTTCGCTCTTGTCACCCAGGCTGGAGTGCAGTGGCGCGATCTCGGCTCACCACAACCTCCGCCTTCCAGGTTCAAATGATTCTACAGTCACATCCTCTGGATCTTGGCTCACTGCAACCTCTGCCTCCGGAGATCAAGCGATTCTCCTGCCTCAGCCTTCTGAGTAGCTGGGATTACAGGCACCCTCCCCCCCAACCAGGCCCAGCTAGTGTGTGTGTGTGTGTGTGTGTGTGTGTGTGTGTGTGTGTGTGTAGAGACGGGGTTTTACCATGTTGGCCAGGCTGGTCTTGAACTTCTGGCCTCGATGATGATCCGCCCACCTCAGCCTCCCCAAAGTGCTGGGATTACAAGTGTGAGCCACCATGCCAGGCCACATAAATCAGTTTTAATCCAGCTGTAACTTAAGGTGGTTACACGTTATGTATGTTAGACCCCAATAAAAATGTCAAAAACAAAAAAAGGTTTCCTTGGCGCCCACTGAACCTGCCAACAGCAAGGTCAAGTTTCCTTGTGTGCTGCACCCACCCCCAAGCCCCTGGGGCCTCCAGGTGTATTCCAGGTTGAGTAGCAGCTCCACTGCCTGGAATGTACATGTCTATGCAATATTCATAAGTGAGTTCCAGCATGGAGGCAGTTCATCCCCATGCACACCCAGAAGGCAGATGTTCCGCTCCAGGCTGACAGGTAAGGAAACATGCTCAGTGAGGTCAAGGGGCATGCCCAAGGTCACAGAGCCAATTTGCAGGAGAGCTGAGACTTCAAAGCCCCCAGAGTCTTAGGAAGAGTTTGCAGGAGAAGCCAACACCTTTCCCAACCCTGCCCAGCTGCTTCTGCTGGGAGCCCAGAACCTTTTTACGCCCCAGGGCAAGACTCTAGGACAAGGTTCCATCGGGGGACGGCCTTGCCTGTGTAGTTGGCAGAGTGAACCAAGCACAGTCCTCAGGCACAGGAGGGTCTGGAGGGGTAGTATGGGAGGTGAGGATTTGCAGGCAGGTCCCTTAGAACCTCCATCTTGGTTGTGTCCACAAAGCCCCGGTGCAATTCCTCAATCTCCAGGCTTCTGTGTTAGCCATCTTGGAGGCTACAACCCATTCCTGCTGTCTCCATCTCATCTCCTTGGGTATCTTGAGCACTCTGGCCACCAGGATGGCCACCTCACCGCTTACACAGACCGCACTGCACTCCTTCCAAGGCCAGAACAAAAAGCGTTTCCACCTGGTCTTGACCTCAGAGAGCCCAGATGCATGCACACAGCAGGCTGCCCTGACCAGCCAGCATGTCTGAAGCTGTTGGCCAAATGCTCATGACCCTGCTGGACCTCCTACTGACCTAAGACAACCCCCAGGAGTATGGCAGGAACCCGGGCCCTCCCTGGGCACTGGCTCTGATGGAGGCACCAACATCCCCTTCTTCTTTCCCTTCCTACTGCTCACTAACTCATGAGTGGCCCAGATGGCTCCATGGAGCCACCTTTCCTGAGGCTGGAGAAGTCTCTGGCAAGCAGAATCTGTAAGGGGAACAGGACAGAAACTCATTTGAGCATCTCAGTCCCTGTGCTACTATCTCCGAGGACTAGTTTAGGGGCCACAGTGGCAAACAGCTGACAGCCAGCAGGGCTGCCATTGAAAAGGGATTTGGGGTGGTTCTGTGGTGCCCTCCAGCCCCCAATAGCCCATCATCCTCTCCCTTCCTAGCCTCAGGCTCTTAGGGTTTCAACCTCTGGTACTGCTGAATTTCCCAAATGAAGCCACTTAATCTCCCCAACCCAGGTTTCCTCCCCTGTCACAAGAGGATAAAAATAGAACCTGATCCCGAAGCTCTGGGAAGGGAGGGGGACGTGTGCAAAGTCTGGGGCTGTTATCAGGAGCAGGCCCTGCTGCCTTTGCCTCCTCAGCCATCACTCACCTGTCTACCTGACATTTTACTTCCTGAGTCTCCTTGTGGACTGTCCCACAGCTCCATGAGAGCAGGGCACGGTGCCCACGCTGTATCCCTGAACATCCCTGAACAGTACCTGGCAGTGGGTGCTCAATACATAGCTGTTGAATGAATAGATGTTCTCTTCTGCCCCTCTGTCCTGCCCTCCAGCCTCCAGCTGAAAAACTCAGTGTAGCCCAAGCTCTACCAGTGAATCAGCCACCTGCTCACATCTAAAGGAGGCTCCAAAACCAGGCTCCAGCCAGGGTCCTCAGCTGCCTCCTCCTCCTCCTCCACCCACAATGCCCCTTAAGGCAGCTATCCACAGCCTTTTTGGCACCAGGGACCCACTTCATGGAAGACAGTGTTTCCATGGATGAGTGGGGGCGGATAATGGTTTGGGGATGAAACTGTTCCACCTCAGATCATCAGGCATTAGATTCTTCTAAGGAGTGCGCAACCTAGATCCCTCGCATGCACAGTTCACAGTAGGGTTTGCACTCTTACAAGAATCTAATGCTGCTGCGGATCTGACAGGGGTCAGAGCTGAGGTGGTCACGCTCATGACTGCTCACCTTCTGCTCGGCGGCCCAGTTCCTAACAGGCCATGGACCAGTTAACAGTCCCAGGAGTTGGGGATCCTGCCTTAAGAAACAGAGCATGCCGGGCGCGGTGGCTCAAGCCTGTAATCCCAGCACTTTGGGAGGCCGAGGCGGGTGGATCACGAGGTCGAGAGATCGAGACCAACCTGGTCAACATGGTGAAACCCCGTCTCTACTAAAAATACAAAAAATTAGCTGGGCATGGTGGCGCGTGCCTGTAATCCCAGCTACTTAGGAGGCTGAGGCAGGAGAATTGCCTGAACCCAGGAGGCGGAGGTTGCGGTGAGCCGAGATCGCGCCATTGCACTCCAGCCTGGGTAACAAGAGCGAAACTCCGTCTCAAAAAAAAAAAAAAAAAAGAAACAGAGCAGTGGCCGGGCGCGGTGGCTCAAACCTGTAATCCCAGCACTTTGGGAGGCCGAGACGGGTGGATCACAAGGTCAAGAGATCGAGACCATCCTGGTCAACATGGTGAAACCCTGTCTCTACTAAAAATACAAAAAAAATCAACTGGGCATGGTGGTGCGTGCCTGTAATCCCAGCTACTCAGGAGGCTGAGGCAGGAGAATTGCCGCGCCATTGCACTCCAGCCTGGGTAACAAGAGCGAAACTCCGTCTCAAAAAAAAAAAAAAAAAGAAAAGAAACAGAGCAGTTACATTATGCCACTAAAATTTATACATCAGGGCTGGGCACAGTGGCTCATGCCTCTAATCCCAGTACTTTGGGAGGCTGAGGTGAGCAGCTCATGAAGTCAGGAGTTCAAGACCTGCCTGGCCAACATGGTGAAACCCTGTTTCTACTAAAAAATACAAAAATTAGCCGGGCATGGTGGCACATGCCTGTGATCCCAGCTACTGGGGAGGCCAAGGCAGGAGAATGGCTTGAATCTAGGAGGTGGAGGAGGAAAAAAGTATACATCGGTTTCTTGAAAGTTTCATTATCACATGTCTTTCCCCAGGATTGATCAGCTCTCAGCACAACTTTGTAAGAAAATGAATTTCTCGGCCAGGCACGGTGGCTCACACCTGTAATTCTAGCAGTTTGGGAGGCCAAGGTGGGCAGATCACAGGTCAGGAGTTCAAGATCAGCCTGGCCAACATGGTGAAACCCCATCTCTACTAAAAGTACAAAAATTAACTGGGCATGGTGGTGTTCAGCTGTAGTCCCAGCTACTCCAAAGGCTGAGGCAGGAGAATTGCTTGAACCTGGGAGGCAGAGGTTGCAGTGAGCAGAGATTGTACCACTGCACTCCAGCCTGGGGGACAGAGCAAGACTCCGTCTCAAAAAAAAAAAAAAAAAAAAAAAGAATTTTTGCCTCTACCAGGCAGAGGCTGGGCCACATAGAACTCTGGAGGGTGGGGGAGCAGAGGTTTTTAATTATACAATAATTTAGTGCCTGCTGTGTGCCAGGCTCTGTGTCAAGAGCCTTATGTACACCATTTTACTGAAACCCGGAACAGTTCTGTGAGGTAGGGATGATTATGCCTACTCTACAGGTGATAATGGAGGCACAGTGAGGTTAAATTACCAGCCTGAGCCGTGAACGCAAATGTGGGCTCGTATTTCATTTACAAAATATATTCCAGAAGGCCGTAGCTTGGTAGGGGAAGGTGAGGTGTTA